AAAAAAAAAAAAAAAATATGAATATATAGAACTTTTGTTGGTGTCATTTCTAATGATTTCTAACATAAAGATTATTTTCTTTAAAATAAAGAATGTCTGAGAAAGAACAAGTATTTATACATATTTTTGACTTATTAATTATTATGGGTATGTTTCTATTTTTTTAGGGTGAAGATAGTCGAATAAAACTTATAGTTTATGAATTAAATGTGGCATTTCAGGAAGGCAGAATCAATATTTTTCAATTTTTTGATGAAGTACAAAAATTTGCAGCCGAATACAAGAAATAGATAAATATGAAGTCATTTTTTTCTTCATCATTAACTATTGTTTTTTCCTTGTTGAACTTTCATAAACTCTTGGATACCATATAGTTGATGTACTCTTTTGTGTTTTCATTATCCAGGACGTTGTTCTTTTTTCGTTATTAATCGACGGTTTTTGTTATTACTCATTGAAATAAGTTGTTATGCATAATTATACTCTTGTGATTCATTATAAAGTTTTTTTTCTATTTGATAAAGTCCTATAAAATGATTTTATAATAGAAAGAGAAAAAGTGCAAAGGGTGTGGGTGTGGTCTTCATTGACTATCACACCCACACCCTACATGATGCAATCATTGAATTGGCAACGTTGCGCGGATCATAAGATCAACACACCCGTTACATGGAACATGAAATGTAATCCTCAATAATCGGATGAGTTCATTTCGATAGATTCGACCTGAAAGAATGTAAAGAAAAAATGGTGGGACGAACGACAGATAGAACGGTAGTTTGAATATGATGAAAAGAAAATATAACAAACTAGTAAATCGAAATTCAATCGCCAGTGACAATATGAGAAAGACCGAACAGAATGGCAGAATAAGAATAAGATGAACGGCTAATTGAAATAGAAGCATTCGCATTAGTTGACTTTCAGTACGACGATGAAAAGCTAGGGCAGGAGTAATTTGTGATTGGTTTACATTATAAATAGTTAACAAGCCGAAACTATCATCAGAAACGATCCAATAATGGCGAACATGATCTCACCAATAATCATAAATGCTTGTTGGAATGCTATATCAATATGAGGTACGCATCCAAGTTCATTGCTTTGCCTTAGATCGAAGGTTATTAGAGTGCTGATATAAAGTAATGCCAACAGACTGATAAGAAGTATAATTACAAGTCGAGCTATCCCCACACTACTGGATTTACGTCGTTGGTCATTGAATGAGCTAGCACAGAATCGATCAACTGAAGCAAATAAGATTAAATATACGGAGATGTTTGAACATAAATTCAGAAAATAACTAATCAGTTTGCACACAATGTTGGAATGTTTGGATGGACTGATATTATATCCATCGGAAAGCAGATTAATCACGAGTAAAACAGTCAAATAGAAAAGGTTATTGATAACCATGACAATAAAATATAGAGAAGATGCATGATGAGTGAAAGCAGATCTAGTCAATATAACGATATTGAGTCCATTGCCCAATACACTCAGAAAGATAATCATTGGAATAGAAATTCGTGTCATTTCTTCTGCGAATATAAGGGTTCATCAGCCATTTCTCCTCTTTTTGAACTGATAATACTCTGTTTTATCTTCTTTTCATGTACTTCACTATGTTAATAATTCATTTCTAGCCAAAATCTTACTGAGAAAACGTATGCTTGAGAACCACGTCAGAATTCGTAGAAACAGTATCTTCTTAACAGAAAAATAAAATTGCTTGAGAAACAAGAATGCTGATGATCGAGCTATCTAATGTTGCCTAGTACAAGTATGAATTATTGGCGGTCTTCATGGCTCAAATGAATTACAAAATAATTCAAAATAAATGTTTTAAACCAGAGGCCATATTTTAATTCTCTATCACTAAATATATGCATATATAGTATATAAAAATAGCTACTATTTGTATGACTTATTCAGAATATTATTAGTTGCCAACGAACCTATTACACTTCAGTATAATTGACCATGAAGTATCTTAATTCGCGATTGTCTAGAAGTGCCCACTACTGTCTATAAGAGTCTATAAAAATATACAAGGTGCTACAGTAGTCTATCAGTTGGGTATGCTTTTTTCTGACTGTAATTTGTAGCCGTATTTATTTGTACAACCCTTCGAAATATCATTCTCGAAACACTTAAAATCCAACGGAAAACTGTTTTGAAAACATATTCTTTTCTCGTTTTTGAAATGCTTTCATTGTTGTTCCTAATTAAAATGGTAAATAACGACCGATGTCGATTTTATATTGATTAAACATTACAGCTATTTTTCAAGCAATTGTATGCGATTATACTCGCCAACATATTTTAATCCTCTCTGACTTTTTATCTTGCGCTCACACACATAGTTTATTTAATTGAATCAATGCTTATTGTTTATTGTTATATCGAGATAAATTTAATTAAAACAATAAGTATTAATCACTCGCTTGCTCTTAAGCTTGCTCGCATTAATCTAAATAAAAATAAAAGATAGAAATATCTATAGTCTTGAAAGCAATATTGTAATAAATTCAAATAAAAGAAGTCATTATTGATATTTTTAAGCAAGTATCGAAAATAGGATTTATTTTAGAAATAAGCTTTAATTGAAATACTTATAATTTTGAATCTTTTGGAAAAACAAAAAAGGGTGAGTGGGTGTGGCTGGGTGAGGACTATTGGTGTTTCATTGCTGTGACAGTCAACACCCACCTTCACCCCTACACTCACATTCACACCCACACCCATAAAATGATGAACTTGCTCGTTAGTCTCCAGTGTAAATGATAAAGTCAACGGTTTGATAAGGTGGCATAATACTAAACGATTGTCCATATCCAGCATAATCTGTTGAACCGCTGATTGAATGACCATGGAGGCCGCCAGCTAAAATTGATATTCCAGTGTGACCAGTAGGAATTGTATGTGAGTGAACATTTCCGTCATCAAAGTGACCACCGCCATTAGATTTCAGATTAAATCTACCTCCACCGCCGGGTCTTGTATCGGTTGAACCGCCATGATTGTGTCCTGCATCGTTGATAGAATGAACATGACTGCCTGAACTATCGGCGCTCAACGTTCCTTTGTTGTGTTGATGGGTTGGTATTTGAGCAACAGTGAGTGTTTGTGTTGAGCTTCCTCCAAAGTTCAAACCAGCCGACTGATTTTTTAGTGGATCGAGACCCAAGGGAAATCAACCACGAAAATTCGGTATATTGAACGTTGTTTTTCCGTTCCCGGCACCAAATTTCTCACCAATAACAGAAAATAATCGTTGATATTCAATGCGAGAAAGGGCTTGCCCATGACAGAAAATCCAAGATTCGGGTAGCGATGATGCATTACCTGAGTACAGTTTGATTTCACCTATGATTTATATATAACACATTTTTGGGAATCACGTGGGAGAAAAGGGTTACCGAAAATATTAAATTTTGACAAATGTGAGTTTTTTTTATGAAATCAGTGAGTAAGTAGCGATAAAGTGGAATCCTCTATACTCTTCTAATTTTAAAAGGACGATATTGGAGTATGCTCTATATCACATCATAGTAGACAAAATCTTGAGATCCTATTATTTTGTATTATCGCCCATTTTCTTTCTTATATCCCACTTTTTCAAAATTTTGCAAAGTAAATGGTGCCTCATCTTCGAACTCCTGAATTCCCAGCGTATTCAGTAATAGTGATCTCTTACCTGCAAATACCGATGGGCGTATGCTCGGTAGCAATGTACTACTTCGTGTATTTACTGTGCGCACAATAGCTCCGTTGGACTTCTCCGCAATCAGCTGTTTTGCGATAATTGCCACTTGCAGCCAGTCAGCAATGTCTGTGAGTTTATAAACAGAAAACGACTTCGGGATAAACTTTTCACCCATCCATTCGGTTTCAACAGATTCTTGGGTGAGCAAATTTTGTATTTCAGTGGCTGAAAAGATCGATTGTGTTGTTGTTAATAGATGATTTGATGATGAACCGGATGATCCACCTCCACCTCCACCACTGAAAAAACTTAAAATATTGAAACTACCACTACCCGAAGCACTTGACGCTTGTGCATATGCTTGATTAAAATCAAAATAGTTATCTGAATAGTTGTGCCGCTGTGTTGCGGTTTGGTTATAGGTAAACAGCTTTTTTAGTTCGTTTGTGATTCGATCAGGATTCAAGTCGGCTGATGACCAAACTTGATCATACAGTTTGGCATCAACTTTCGCCTCATTCGAGTAAGCCATACCTGTATGAAAACGATTAGTTGTGTATATGAAGTGCCTATGTCATAACAATACACACCTTGCTGCAACAATGAGGTAAACTGATCTTCCAAGCCAGCTGCTAAAGATGAAATATTTGAGTTTACATTTTCCATGTATATCATTTTCTTTACGTTGGTTACATATTTGCTCACAAACGATGACCCTTGATTTCGATGAATGTACTTGGCGTTTTTGCTTCCACCGTCTGCAGTTGTCTTGCTGAGTACATTCTTCAACTGGTCACCGGTAATCGAAATCATATTCATTGTGATTTGTTTGAAGCCGGAAAAGTAGAAGGCTAGCTCAACTTCATAATATCCATCGAGAATATTGTCAACGATTAATTCGGCAGTGTTTGACGAAGAACATCGAAACCAAAGTTGCATTGTGAGCGTATTTGGATTGATGATACGAAAGGGATGAACCCCTTCGACCGGAGAGTTACTGCCTTTTACGATCCAGGCCATCATTGAATCAATCATAAGTGGAGCAACGGTCCAGAATTTCGCATATTGCGAAATCGATAAATCATATTTAGCGACAATAGCTTTTCTTGCTATCTCGACAATATTTGCACTGCTCAATATTAATTTCATATGAACTTCATTATTACTACTGAACAACCATTTATCGTCATTGTTGTTATTTTTTTCTGGTAGCATAATTGGCACAAAGTAGAAAATCCACTTTTGCGGTGACCCTACATTTTCATTTTCGTTCGACAGAGCCGCGTACACATATACCTGATTGTTGTCATAATTGAAGATCGTCAGTATTTGAGTACTTACTACAGCAGTTCCCAAGCTTGGACTATCCATGGATTCGACTAACGATCCCGATTCTTCCGATGGAAGCATGCCATTTGTCTCCCGCTCATTCCAGACAACAAGGGTAAAAAAAAGGACACTAACTAAATAATAACCAGTCATTATTCTACAGTATTTCAGAAGTAACAGCTAATGCCAGTATGGCATTCAACATTCAGAATGGGAAAAGAATATATTTCGTAGTTAAATTTTAGTATTATACATAGATAAAACGATTAGGCTCAAGCGATGCCTTATCTTTGAAGCATAGTTCTGAAATAATCGTAATCGTAAATATTTGGAAAACCTTATGGTACAACAGAATTTTGATTTTCTTCCCTCCTTTCTTATCACACAAGTGATGAAGGGATTGAAAGTCGTTTTGACAACAAGTGACAATAACAGAATGTAGTAGTACATGAGATTTAATTCGAATCCTCTAATCCTTTAAACAAATCTAGAACTTTTAATCAGAACTTTTATTTTAATGTAATGCGAAAATTTTCTCATGTGGGTGCGAGTCTGGGGATATGCGAGTGAGTTTTTGCTCTGAATGAGGATGTCATTGTGCTTGTGGCTTGTTTTTGCATTACACCCACCCCATTTGCTTCAAAGCCAAAATATGTATGCCCGTGGCAAAAATTTTTCTCAAGCCCTTGATGAAAAAATTGAACTTAAATAGAGTTTTTTTGGGTTAAAACTATCGACAGCTCATCAGCCAAAAAACAAACAAAGAAGAAGTTTTAATAGTATCTTTTGTTTTGAGACCTTTAATGTCAAAAATGCATATTTATTATTATTTCATTAAGCACGATTTCTATTCGTCTTATTCTTTTCTTGTTTTGAATTGAATCCGAAAGTCATGGGTCATAGAAAATGACTAGTGATCTAACAAGTTATGAGGTAAACCATAGAGGAGAAGAATTAGTGTGTGATGATTAATAACCATCCCATTTTACACTCGCTCTAGATGAACTTCCCTAAAGAAATATGAGCTAGAGACAACAAATGTCTAACGTGACAATCAACACTTGCTATTTTTTACAAGAAATTTGCCAAGTTTAAAAACAGATCATCGCATAAGTCTCATGAAATCAATCAACTGTTTGATCGGTAGATCCTTTTTTCAATTCATCTCTATTGAAACCGATTTAATGCTATCGGATGTTTCACTTCATATTGATGAGAGTATGCTTTAGGATGAGACCAACCCGTTTACATTGTCAGTATGATCCTATGCATTTGTGGCTCATAAATATCAAACTTGAATTTCGAGATCGAAAAGGATAAATCTCAATCCAGCATACGAATGAAGTATTTCTCATAATTTTATTTGAGATAAACCATGAAGCTATGAAAACTTATCTTCTCCGAATAGAAAAGATACAGAAACGAAGGAGGGAGGTGGATAAGGCCGTTTTGTGCCCTCCCCCCCTCAGATTTGAATTATTTCTGTTAGCTATTAATCACGGATCGTTCTTAATCAATTTTTTTTACCTGGGGTACCTCACAGGCATCATCAAAAAACAAATTTGTTTTTTCACTAGCCAAAGTCAGATGTGATTGTTGATTTAAAGGTATTGATTAAGAATATCACAATATGAGCTTTGAAAATTTATTTATTCCTTATAAAACCTAAACCACTCCCTGCACCCTATTTTTCATTGTTTGGGCCCTCATAGAATAGCAACACCATAAAATGTATCTTACAGAAAAAAACAGGGATTCCGCGTCAGAATTTGACTTCTTTGTCATCATATGCGTCTTTCTTCATTGTGAACATAGACATATTTGGTGAGAAGGCGTCAAAATTTCAAAGCTCTTATTGTGATATTTGTAATCAATACCCTTAAATCTACAATTACATCTGGCGTTGGCTCGTGAAAAAACAAATTTTGTTTTAGATGATACCTGTGGGATCCCCAGCCAAAATAAATCGTCAATGTCGATTTTCGAGAAACAAAGTTAAAAAATTGACCAAGGACGATCCCTGATCAATGGCTGATAGAAATAGTTCCAATCTGAGGAGAAAGCAGGTCGCAAAACGGCCTTATCCACTCTCTTCCTTTCTTTTTTTTATTCTTTTTCTGCCATAACTTTTAATATTTTTTTGTTTTTCATCAACATTGATGTCAACATAAAAAGAAATCGCTAAAAGCATCATCGTCCTTGAAAACAATGTGGTGTCCTTTTCATTTTTCTATCACTGGTAGTATTTGCTTTGTTAAATTTTAACAATTGTTCAGTCATCAGGAACTGGAACTGGTTTTTTTTAAACAATTTCAGCGCCACACTAATGATTTTGTTGGCACTCAATGATTATTTACAAATATAATTCATCAATTTAGAAGCTGATATTTATTGATTTATTTTAGGCTTTTATACAAGTTTACATCAGTGGCAAATTAGACAATACCCACCGCTGTTTTACATAAACATGTATAAGAAAATTATTTAGTTTTTTTGGATTCATTCCTATTTTTAGAGAAAGATAATGATAAAATATTTTCTCTGCACCTTTAGATAGAATGAAACAATTGAAAATCAAAATGACTAGCGAATAGAATTCATTAGTTTATCAAGAAAAGAAGTATTACATTTTACAAGTAAGCTACAAATAAATACATAGTTTTCTTAATATTTTTAGTAAAAGAATCCAAAAATTAACTTGAGCGATCTTCATGATAGTGACGAAAGCTAAATGCAAGAACGAATTAAAGAGAATATACTATTGTATCATGCTGAATTTGGCGAAAATTGATAGATGTTTTTACATAGTTTACCAGGCAGATTATTTTTGCTAAATTTAGGTCGAATTCCATAATACTGGATTGCTATGAATAGAAATAAATAACATAGAGGATTTTTACTAGAATGCCAAAAGTTCCCTAGATATGCAAAGAATTATTTAGACGTATGTTATGCTTTCACATTTGATTAATGAAGAAAAAATGTTGCTATGCTTATGGCTATTATTTCATGTAGACATTATAATATTTTCGTTAAATATCGATCTTTGCTGACTACACTAATGATACATATAGACTTGATAGTATATTTAAGAGTATGAACATATCCAAACGCGCCTGCTTACATTTATACTTTATCGAATATATACGAACTTGAAAAATGTCGTTTATTGACGATGGCAGTTTGATGTAGAAAGTTTTGAAAAACAAAACTTCTATCCCATGTCGCGAATACTGCTTCAATTTTTGCGGTAAACCGCGGTAATTTTAGAAAAGCGGTAAATTTTTATGAAAAGGGAGCCGGTAACCGGAGCGGTAATACCGCGGTTAACCGCTAGTTTTTCCGGTACCCTTTTTTTACCGTCATCATATAAGAAAAAAAGATGCCTAAAATAGCCCGATCAATGACTTTTAGCAACAATTTTTTTATAAACGCTCAGCGAACCGGTTAATTGAAAAATACCGGCGGTAAACCACGGTGTTTCCCGAAACCCCCGGTTTACCGCGGTAAATTTGTGTTGATGGGAGCCGGTAACCGGAGCGGTAAAACCGTCAATTTTGCTCCGTTTTTTCCAACATGGGATGTAGCACTGTAGTGCCTTTTGGACTTTTGCCTTGCATAGATCTTATCATAAAAATAAATAGTTATTTTCATAGTATTTTTTAAGCCAAATTGAATTCACACCTACATCCTACCGTAAAATCTTCCACACCAAGTGTTTCATCAAATAAAGCAATTCTGAGTATAATGTATGTAAACATCTCATTTACGATTTAGCTTTTCATGATACTGATTTTTTATATTCCATAGTCGTAGAATTCCTTTTTCTCCATTAATAAATTGGTAACAAATCGCAAAATAATCCTTCAATTAATAAATTTAGAGTTTAAAAGCAAACCTTCTCATGGATAATTATGAATATGTGAATAAATCGAATATCAACAATGACTTTATATGTGAAATATGTAAAAATCCATTTATTGACCCTGTTGCTTTACCAGAACCATGTGAACAAACATTCTGTTTCAAATGTATTCAACTGAATCTTGAAAATCATTCACAGAATTGTTTACAATGTAATAAAAAATCTTTATCAAATGCAGATTTAAAAAAAGAAAGTCTTATTGTACGAAAAACTCTCGATAATCTTCCTGTGAAATGTCGTTCTTGTTTTCAAGAAAATATTCGACGAGCAAAATTTTCGCAACATATGCAAGAAATTTGTCCGAAAAGACGCGTTTGTTGTTCAGCTAGCAATATCCAATGCCCATGGCATGGACCTTACGATCAATTCCATCGTCACGTTAATAAATGTCCCTATGAACAAATTCGCCCTCTTCTTAGTAAACTAATCAATGATGCTGCACGCCTTGATCAATTGAGTCAACTTCAAACAAAAATTCAGGATCTTGAAAATAACTTTCAACAACTACAAAATCAGATGGAACAAACGGAAAACGAAAATAAAAGTTTACGTGAAAAACTAAATGAAATGGAAAAATTTGAAATTGAAAATAAAATTTTATATGAAAAAATAAGTAAAATGGAAAAAGTTGGAATTGAAAATGAAAGTTTACGTGAAAAAATAAGTGAAATGGACAAAATTGAAATTGAAAATAAATATTTAAAAGAAAAGACAAATAAATTAATCGATGAAAAACAATTAATACATGATCAATATGATCAATATAAGAAAAACAATAATGATGTTGGTATGGAATTCAGCAGGCTTACTAGTTCCTTACAACACGTATCTAATCTAATTGAATATATTGAAAATGAAAATCAAGTTCTTCAAGAAAATCTGAATGAATTGAATTATTATGATGTAAATAATCGAACTCTATTGAAATCTTTTCAACAACAACAACAAATGGAAACTGATTCTCTTCAGGAAATGAATCAATCTTTGAAAGAACAAATATTACATTATGAAAACGAACGTGAAGAAATAAATCAATGCTTCCAACAAATCCAAACAGACAAACATCAAATGTTTACACAGGGTCTTCTCTATAAGGCAGAGATTACTAATTTAAACGCATTAAATCAACGTTTGAAAGAAAAATTATCTGACTATGAAACAGAGCTTCAGCAATCAAATCAATATTGTCAACAACTTCAAGATCAATCTATTAGCGATAAAGATAAAATTGAAGAACTGGTGATTAATATTAAACGATTAGAAGCAAAATTATACTTACCAGCTAGTCAACCATATCGTAAGTTTACTAAAATCCTCACAGCCGGTACCGAAATAATGTGGTTCCGCATATCTCTAGTCTACACACTCCTGATTTTCAAATAATTAATGTGCTCCTATGTAGAAATATTGCATACAAATCGGAGTCTTACTTCAATTTTTTTAAAAGTAATAACGACTCTAGTTAATATTTGAAGATATGCAGAATAGTGCTGCAACTGAACAGAGATTGAGTGATTTTAATTCTATAGGAAATGTTTTTTCGATGTCAAATTTATTTTTAGAAATACCTGAAAAAAATAAAAACATTGAAACTAATCGACTTGAAGAATTCATTGACAAATGCCAATCATATTTAATGGTTAATTTAAATAGTGAACAAATAAATGATGATAATATTGAAGTTGTTATTAAAGCAGCTTTAATTAAAAAACAATGCCAATCATTGATATTGTGGAATAACCATTTAACATGTTATTCAATATCGAGATTATCGTCTGCATTGAGTATGAATAAAAGTTTAACAAAATTGAGTATTTCAAAAAATCATTTATCCGATTCAGCTATAAAAGATTTATCTGAATCGCTTTCATTTAACAACTGCACATTAAAACAATTAGTTCTTTCGTCAAATGAAATAACTGATCAAGGTCTTATCTATTTATCGGATATGCTAAAAACTAATGAGCATTTAATTGTACTTGGATTACAAGACAATAAAATAACTGATAAAGCTATTCAATATTTGTCTCAAATTATTCAATTTAAAAATCAAGTTATCGAAGAAATATCTTTATATTCAAATAAATCAATAACAGACGGTAGTGTTGATGATATATTTGATATGATTAGACATAATCAATCATTGAAAACATTTTGGATATGGGATTGTCAATTATCGGAACAAGGCAAAGATAAACTTCAGCAATCTATTCAGGATAAAAATAATTTTGACCTTCAAGTCTAATAAATCAATTCATTGAATTTTTGGGTTTTAGATATCTTTTCCCAAGATTTTTTATTTAATAAGATCATTGAAATAAGATATAGAGAATAGATATAATATATCTTCGTTGTGTCAAATTGATAGAGTGAGAATAAATTTCATTCAGAGAAAAATTTTCCTACTGTCTATTGAAGATGAAACTTTGAATGCTCATCGTTAAATAAATTCATATTTTACTTTCACTTAAAAATAAGTCGACAGCAACAGTGGCCTCATTCATTTGCTTGATAAAATACATCTAATATTGACTGAACCACTATGATTATCAACTAATCTGAGAGTGCTGGCATTTACTGCAATCGTGCTGTCGTTCTTTGTTTTACATGCTAGTATTACAAAGAGCTAACTAATTTTGCAATCAATACGATGCATGTGTTGTCTTCAGTTGGCTTTTCGAATATTTCCATCAATTTCAGACAATTTTCTGTATTGATACGAAACATTATTGACATTCTCACTTTAGTTTTCAAATTAATATAAAAAATGGAAAAGTACCGCTCGAATATTCATTTATGAACTTCGATAAAATAAGAAGTACACATGAAATTGTGGAAGATCTATCTATTCTATACTCTCTGTTCTACATATATGGTCGTTAATCAAAGTCTATACAATATGAAATTATTTCTTTAAATACGAATTGGAAATAATATTTTAGATAAACTATATCAGTCAACGCGAAAGCCTAGAAAATTATTTGATTTACATGGTTCAATATTAAAGTGGAATTTTGAGTGTTCTATATAAAAATCATTCAATTTGTTAAATATGCAACATATTGTAATATTTTTTGAATTATTCATAATGTCGAATGAAGTCTTATCTATTGCTCTTCTGAATCAAAGAATATTTCCATTCATTGAATTTGAATATCAAAGTATGCATTAACTGTGCATTCGAACATGAGTTATAACAATGTTTAAATCGACAAATAAATGCTATACATGTTTTCAAACTGAAGATTGGATGCTCCAAAATTATTGTATTCGAATTTTCATATTTTAGCATGCCATGACCAAAATTTGACGAAAGACAGTTGAGAATTGATTGAGGACATTTTTTGTGCGTGAAAAAGCTCAAATTCAAAATTTATAGAATTGATATTTCATTTTGACTGAACCTTGTTAGTATATCTCTCTGTGAAATGAGACTGGTGGTATGATGTGTGTTTGAATACGGATAAAATATGAGCAAGACTCACACTTGGGTGTGGACCATAAAAAACCTAGCTCATAATTTAGCCTTAAGCGTAATATTTCTCAATCGTAAATTAAAAAACAGAATAATGAAATCTTGTTCAAAAGTTGAAATTATCAGCTCCTTATCTTGTTCCCATGAAAAACTATAAGCAATCAATGAAACTTTCAGAGAATTTTATTTCACACTCTAAATTGAAAATTGATTATTACAAGCAAGCTGTTTTTATTAGTTATGCATTTTGTCAATGAATGGACGTAACATTGATCGGCACCATTCCACCAATACTTGCGGCATCATTAAACTCAATTAATTCAATTGTTAATACACCATAGTAAATATAGACTGGCATTCTGCCGACAGCTCGAACTGCAACATCAATTACGTGTAAGCCTGGTTGTAAATAGATAATTTCTGACTTTCGTATTGCAGGCGCTGTCGGTGTGGCAAAATGGTAGTGCCCTACACCAATATGATCAAACGCATCAACTGCAGTGTATCCAGGGATTGCTTTGTAACGATCTGCAGTATTCTGTATAAACCTATCGTTATAGAAAAGATAATTATTGACCATAATCCGAGGGAATACCCATACAGGAGAATTTGGAATATGACATATTGCATCAAAAGTAATTTTATACAAGAGAGGTACAGTATGATGAAACGCTGTAGTGAAACCAGTCACTTTTGCATATAGATTAGATGCACCAGTAATCGTAAAGGTTGTTGGCTGCTGAAATTTTTTGTAAATCTTTTCTGATCGGATGAAGCAAGTATTGTCCATTTTCCTGCCAGATAAGATTTGAATCGTATTACCATATGAATGTCCCACGAATATTGCTAGCATAAAATTGATTATGATCCATGTTTTCATCATGGTCCGCAATGAAGAAAATATCATCTTTGTATGAATTTGTGCGAAGAACACGAGACAACGCTTGTTTCCTGCTGACGGTATGGAAATATTGGTATATGCTAAAGACTGTCGACTCTTTTTATTTATCACGAAAAAAGAAATTTCAGTGGTGCCACTTGAATTCAATTGAGTTTTCAAGATTAGCTTCAAGCGTTGCAGAGATAAAAAAATTCGAATAAGAACGGTTCACGGCGAGGCTTTGAGTGTGGGTGAAGAATCGTTAAGTGGAACTCTCAGTTAGATGAAATTCAATAAATACAACAACAAGATCTCACAAAAGGGTTTATTTCAATGCAAGACATATTTTATACTGAAAATATCCGAAAGAATAGTTTCATTTTATATGAATGATAACTAACCATGTAAAACAAATTCCGAGAATAATCGTCATATTCTTGATTATAATCGATTCGCACCAGAAATAATTGATAAAAATCGAGCAATTATGATTAGTTCTGATTAAATTGAAGATTCTAATCGATTTTTTTTCAAAGTTTATTAGGAATCAAAGACTTTTCACCAATTATAATCAATTTTTTAGTTTAATCGCATAAAATCGATTAAAGCTACTATAATCGATTGTCTATGATTTTTTTTATTAATCAATCAGAATCGATTCTGGGTAATAGTCGATTTTCATCTGTATTTTATTATTTTTTTCTACATTAAAATCCACGAAAATTGATTCGGTTCTCGAATAGATTATAATCATTGAGATTAGGTTCTTTTAAAATCGAGTGATATAGATTATAATCATTGAGATTAGGTTCTTTTAAAATAAACTCCTACTACAAATAATACGTTAGAATCAAATTTACTCTTGAATACATTATAACGAATTCAGTTTTATCCATGTTAAAAGAACTAAATTGAAAATCTAATTACCCAGGTGAATCAATCCGATACCGAATCCCATCGGATTCTATGGGTTCCTACCATCCGACGAAATCCCATTGGATTCCTGGTTGAGGAATCAATGTCGAATCCGACAGTCGTATTTCCAATGATATCCGATTGACGGTTACTGTCGGATTTTATTAGTTTCCGATATTAGGATCCGATATCGATTCCGGAACCAGAAATCCGACGATAATCCGATAGTTTCCTTGCGCCTTCCGAAGAGCTCCGTCGGATTACAATAGGAACCGATCGAAACTCATCGGATCCTAGGCTAGGATTCATTCTCTTGGGTAGGAGTCATTCAATTTTTTCAATAGAACAATTGACAAAAATCGAAATAAACTGATTCTAGACTGAAAAAAACATTTTTTTAAAAACTTCCACGATCAGAAGTCACTTATGATTTTTCTGATTATGTTGCGTGATAAAAATTAAAGTTAAAGTCATCCTAGTAATTTAAAGATTGTTCATTTCAACAATGTAAAATAAATTACCGTTTAAATCTTAAAAATATGATATCTGGAAATTTTAGAAAGATAGATTATTAGTTCAGCGCTTGGCTATGAACGACATGCACACACAATTCTACATTCTTTAATATCATCTTTGTTATTCAAAAAGTGATGGAACAACCTATTTAGACTCGATACATGTAAGACCAAGGCAAAACTTTAGACACTGAGCTCGATTTCTTTATGCACATGAAAACGCGATTTCAACGTTTATGAACAGATTTGAATCTAGAACAATAATTCAAGTATCTCCAAAATCGCATAAAAAATCTGATGTAATACACAATAACCAGAAACATCAGACCTCTTTCAAAGAAAAAACTGTGACACTCTTTGCAGTACTTCCCATAAAAATAATTGATTGCACAAAACCTTCATATTCTTGGGTTATAATACGAGTTTCCTTTTAATATAAATCTGAGTTGCTTTTTCTTTCTTTGTTCCTTTCGCTTCAAAAGCAATATTAAGGATAAATTTTGTTTTCAAACCAAATCATGTTTTTTGTTCCATTTATTCAAATGGAACATGTTCAGAGTTGTTTTTCATTTTGATGGCGATTGTTTTCGATGACTTCTGCATTTTTCTCGGAGAGAAGTCTCACCAGTTCGTTTGGCAGAAAATAAGGAAGTAGAAGTATATTGTGTTGTGAAAGTAAAAATTCTGAATAATGTAATTTAGAGAATACTGATGAATTCTTGAAAAAGTACTTTCCGAAAAATAAAAATAAGTCTAATCTTGCTAATTGTAAATCAGCGTTACTGGAAGTAATTGATGAGATGTTATTATGTGCCTGATGTCGATCTCAGACCATCACAGCTACTTCGAATCAGCTGTTAGTTTATTTGTGATTGATTAAAAGCCGATACATATCAACTGAAATTTGTTGTAATCGGTAGTATTTGGAAACAACTGTTGCATCGATTATAGCCGATTTTAACGAATTTAAATCGATTCTGAATCAGCTAAAAATCGATTACTAATTGATTAGGAATTGATTACAATCAGTCTTTCTTGATAATAATCGATTAGTACAGCGGAATAACTGTTTTCTCCGATTATAATCGATTTTTAATCAAAACAGTAATCGATTTTAATCTGATTTTACCCCTATTTTTTACATGGGTATTCAATCAAAGTAACTAGAATTTAAATTTAACAATGAAATCTTAAGCAATAGATAAAGTTGAGAGCCGCAACTAACTCATTCAGCCTGCTTGCCTACGTTTCCGTCGAAAAGAAATGGTGATCTCATCAAAACGGAATTTGACTGTAGAAAACAGATTCATTTGTGTAGTTTTCAAGGATGCTAAGTAAATATAGCGAATCAGGTTAATTTTTGAGAATAAATATTGAAGATAGATATCAAGGATCAAAATTTGCTAGAGATATGAAGATTTCCTTAAATTCTTTATAGCACAAGAACATTGCAGCGAATCTTCATGCCTAATTCATGGTTATGATAAGGAACGAGCAGAACTGCATTATATTGTGATTCTTTTTGGTATAGTTGCTGCTCTAAATGCTTACTCAATGAATGTTATTGTCTAACATGTTTCAAGTATTGATTGTAGAGCAATATAATAGAAAAAAACACCAAAGAACTGTTAGTGGATGCGCCTTCAGACAAGAACTTTCTCGTGAAGAACACCAACTGAGCGATCAGAAAATGTGCATGTGATTTTCCCTCAAAATATAGCTTAATCAAATAAACGATGCCCTTAAATCCTGACGTTACATGTGATCAAGTGTACAAATTTGATTGCTGACTGAAGAATATAATACTATTCAATTGGATCGTTACGTTATCTAAAAATAATTTTTTGGAAATAAGACAAAAACGAAATTCATACGGTCGAAACGTTGGCAGCATTCAGATGAAAAGGGCATCCAACTGTGTTAAACTCTCAGAACTCAGATATGATCATGATCCAAGTACTTGAGAGTCATACTTACAACAAAGCAACCTATTTTTCAGAAAAATACTAACTAACCCAAAGTGATTCTAATCGCCAGGTAAATTATATACAGGTGCTGCAGGAATGCATGAAAAACCGCCTCTTATCTTGGCAAAAATCAATTTCCCACTGCTTGGAATAATATGACATCTGAACTATCTACTTTTTGTAGTCTTCGAATGATGCAAATGGATAAAAAATTAAAGACATCGGCTCAGCCATTTTAGGACGACACAATCTCACGCCCTCATTAGAATGAAGAGAACAATGATTCAAGTAGCAGTGAGGATGTATGAGAAAGAATAATGTAACAAGAATAAAAGAGCTTGCCGAAAACTACAATCCCATCGTTCATTGGATTTCAAACTTTTGAACTCGATGGTTCCAGGTATCACTCACACAAAGGTTGCTGTGCCGATCGAAAGACAAACCTATTGGATCATAGAATTCGTTTGATAGAGAACCTCTACCGTTTCCACCAAAAATAACTTGTCCTTCGGTCGCTCCTTTTGGCCAACGCATAATTCGATGATTGGATAGATCTGCAATATAGAGAGTTCCCAACTGGTCAACGATGATTCCTTGAGGGAAATCCAACTGAGAAAGTAAATATCCTCTACCACGACCACCAACCACTAATATTCCTTCTCTTGCTCCGTTCGTCCATTTCATCACGCGATTATTATTCATGTCTGAAACATAAACTGAATTATCGCGATCTACAAACACTTTTTTCTGGGTATTGACCTGATCAAGTCGATTTCCTACCAGAGACCGAAATCGAATCGAATTGCCGAATAATTCGATTCGATTCCGAATGGAACTTCAAAACTACCGAATCGAATCGAATGATACTTCTAGAAAAGAGGTCGAATCGAATCAATTCGTTTTTTTTCAGTTTCATTCGGCTATTCAAAATCATTTTCTTTGCTCTGGTGTTATAGTCGAGGGCGGTTGACTAGTATAAGAGATGACGCATGAAAAAGGACGTCCACTGTTTCTCTTTCTTTGTTTCTGTCAGTCGTGCTTATTTAATGGTCATCCTTGTTCTGTTCATATCGTTATCATGGTCAAGTGCATTTTGATTGGCATAATAAATGCTCACTTACAACGAGCGTTCCATCTTTCTTTCTTTTTTCGTTAGTCAATTTAGGCCCCAATCATACTGAGAAGTAAATTAACATTATAGCTGAATTAAGCCATGTGACTGGTGCATTAAGAGCTAAGTAATACTTTGGAGATGATTTTAACTCTTAATGTATCAATTAGATTACTGAATAAGACTTTAACTTTATTCACATTTCCAGTGCAATTGGGGTCTTGATATCAACCTCTTTATTTATTAAGTATGCCACCGGTCAACTGTAAATATAGATCCATATACAGTAAATGATATTATTTTTCTTCGTTCTATAGAAAATAAACTTATTTAATTAGTCTACTTAGATGTGTTCATTAATTTATATTTTATGTGTTCTTTCTTGAAAAAAATGAATAATTCTTATGTATATCTTCATAAATTATATTTATTCAACATATTTCTATAGAAGATCGACAGACTATTCTCATTCTAAGACGATGACAGTCTGAAAAACAACAATACTATGCAATAGTGAATACCATATTTTTTAAACCCAATTTGAGTCGAATCGAATCGAATCGAATTGAATCGAATTGATTTTTTTCGTGTTTTTAGCCGAATCGAATCGAATTACAATTTTAAAAAGATCAGAGAACTCGTATCGAATCGAATGGCACTTTTGTCACCAGTTTCGGTCTCTGTTTCCTACTCCATTTCCTCCTGCCACCACTATTCCCTGAGTTTTTCCGACTTGCCATCGTCTCACCTCTTGCCTTTCATTATCGCTGACATATAGAAATCCTTGTTCGTCCATTGTCACTCCACAACATCCGATCCCAGCAATAATTGTTTCCCCATCATTTACATTTCTGAAAGACCATCGCACATCACGCTTGTTTCCACGGTCACAAATAAAGACATTATCTCTCGCTTTGTCAACAATCAAATCAGTTGAATTTTTCAGCTGAGTATTTCCACCAACTCTAATTCGACCACAAGCCGCTCCGATTTTCCATTCAGCTATATAAAGAGTTTCATCGTTATGAAGAAACAAAGTATGTGCAGAATAGAGTTGATTCATTCCTGTGTCTGGCACATTTCATCCCGCTACAGTGATACCATTTGTTTTCCAAATCGAGTTAGCGTTGACATGAGCCGAACAGAGAGGTGCCGAAATCATACGAAGAGTTCGTTGAGCATGTGAAGAAGAACAGAATATGCGATCGAAAAAGACAATAAAACTTTTCTTCAGTTATACATTGACTGCGTACAGCTCAATTGTGACTACAATGTGAAACTTACATATCTTCTTCAGATTTGCCATGCTTATATAAAATACATGCACTGATAAAAATATCCGAATAATGATCAACCCCTACACTTAAAAGAGTCGCCATTAAACCGTTGAAGGGTTTATTCCGATGTGATGAGCCCTTTTAGCGTTTATTAGTCGAAGGATTTGTGACGCCATGGGTTTATGAAAACTCAAGGGGTATATGATGGGTACATAAGGACTCATTAATCTACGATTTTAAGACAATAGTATATCCTTCAACGGATGATAGTAGATTGTTGTTCCCTTTCAACGTATGGGTATTTTATTCTTCGTTATCAGGTTTAATATTGTACTTTTTCGTTAAAAAGGTACATCACTCTGCCTTTCTGGGTAGAGTAAGCAACCCTTCTCAGAAACAGTTCATCATTCTACGCCTAAGAATAGCTTCTGCTACCATTTCCTGCTAAGGGTTTAGTATTCCACGTTCAACAGTTGATTCATCTACATCTTAATGAAAAGGGTTTAATACTGTACGTGACTGCTCGATTATATGTCTCTTGATTGACAGCTTTTTTTATTCTACTGACAAATATCGACTTATCTAGCTTAGTATCTCAAGGAATAGTTTCATCGTCAGTCGATGGTTGATTCTACTTCTCTTTTGTTGAAAAAAGTCATCGTACAGGGGTTGATCTTTCCGCTATTTCGTTAAAAGGGTTTATCATGCTACGTACAGAGATCGAGTGTTCTACTGTTTGATGGGAAAGGTTTATTACTCTATGCACAGGGGTTGATTATTTTACCTTTGCGTCAAAAATGGTTTCTTAGTGTGTCGGTGTGAGGATCTGGGTCGGATTAATGTTATTTTATACAGTCACCCACGAGCTAACTTGATGAAAAGAAATAGTAAGATGCCCATCGTTGTTTTTTGCACTGGTCACAACCGAAAGGAAAATGTGGATCACTTGTTTGGTGAACTTGCGGTGTACATGAAACAATGTTTTGATATGCGAAAATAAGAAGTAGCGCAATTAGAGTCACACTTCATTGATTCAGGTAAACATTTTATGTTATAGAAAAAGAAATGTAACGCCTATATATATAAAGTAATACCTCTTGCAGACTCACATTAAACAATAAGCATTTTGATATCGACTGATAAGTACTCTTATTCGATCATCAATATTTTTTCATTAGCGATGTGTTTGATTTTTACAATACAGCAATGTAGATAATAATGATAGCAACAATGAGGAAAGATAAACATGCATTTTTGTGTTTAATATGAAGATATTGAAAAACCTAAGATAGAAAGTGCCACAGAGGCCCCGCTGTAACTTAAATCAATTCACAAAATAGAAATTTATGTTTCTATTTAACCAATCAACAACAAATTTCCTATTTTCGATTCCTAATCTTAATCTTAATCTTTTCTTTATTAATCTTTTCTTTCCTATTTATACTATACCACCCACACACACGTAAGAGAGAGAGAGAGAGAAAGAAGAAACAAAGGAAGAAAAGGCATTTGTTTCTTTGATTAGACTATTTTGTATATAAAGATACTGGTGCATCATCTTATAAATTCACTTAAATTCCAGTCGAAGAAACGATGCCATTATTTACGCCATCACACACGGTAGGAAAGAAGACACAATAGAAAGATATGCAGAGAGAAGAAAAAAAGAATGAAAAAGAGCGGTTGGCGTATGTGCATTTCGAGTTGGATTGCACATATAAGAAATACATAACGTATAAAGACGAAGCAAGAATGTATAAGAATAAATAGATAAATAACTTGTTAGAGTACTCTCTAGCACCTTCGATAGGATCTATGAAAATACAACGTATGATACACCCTTTTAAAGTTGTTCAGTCGTATAAACGCTATGATAAGCCTTTTTATTTCGTCTTTTGATGGGTAGATAAAAGGGTTTATCGCATGCTGCTAAACGGTAGACAAGGGTATATCATACGTTGCATTTTCATCAACGCTTTAAACGTTTATTATTCGAAGCTTTTTTTTTATCAGTGTAGTCATACATAGTTTTCTCTTCACATAGTATTTGAGCCGTGACATCATCCCACCCAAATAGTCCGTAGACGATTTTTAATCCTTTTACAAAAGTAGAATTTATTTGATGCTTTTGTTTTTCAGAAAAAGATTTTCAGCGCAGCCCCGTTGAGGCTAAAATGTGGAACTCACATATTTCGGTCAGTTAGATACTGATCAAATAGAAGTTTTCTTTTTTCAGTGAAGTAAGATCATATTCTGTTCAAAAATAAGATAATAAAACGTTTTTAACATTTGAAGTTTATTGGATCTATATCAATAGGAAATATTACTAGAGAGAATGTATGAAAAACTTTTTGCTTAGAATATGTCAGTATGCTGAAATGTTTAGTGGTTTCATTGAGAAATATTGTGAATGATAATAGTTTAACCAGTATTTAGGATATAGCTATCAATATTGTTGAGAAATTTATATTTTTTCGTATTACCAGGTGAGAAATCGATAAATTTTTTCATAACCGAAAATTTGATAAAAGCTTCCCAGTAGATGGAAAAGTTGCGCATTGTAAATACACTAAAGTGTATTCAAGCTCTAGATTAAGGTATTTGTGTGACAGAAAAAAAGATTAAAATCTTCATCTGTTTATTATAGGTGGTAGAAATAACGAGTAGCATGCACTTGTTGCTAATGTCTGTAATAATAAAAATATATAATAATCTCGTAACGGTGGACTATAATAATAAAAACGACAGATTTTGATGAATAATTAGAGATTAAATCCTAAGTATAATGATTTCTAATTAGTGAAACTAAATTTTTATTACTGATGTGAGTAGTGGTGAACATAGGCAATCAACCTATATCAAAAACGTTTCTAATTATGATGAAATATTGAATGATTGAACACTATCTGTTTAGTGTTCATATTATTACTGTTTAACTTATTTTTAGTATTAATCAAAATCTTATTATATTTTTCATCTTTTGCTCTGCATTCAGTCGAAATAAATAGTTGAATATTAGGTGGTAGTAAGTTGGGTTTTTCTTTGAGACGATAAAGAAGTGATCTTCTATAATTTATTAACAAAGAACATTTGAAGTCGGTTGATAGATGACTTTGCTTGCATCTATGACAACATATTGTACATTCTCTATATTCGCCAGTACTACGATCGTTGCCACATCGTCGGCATGCGTCATACTGAAATAAACAATTTCGTCTTATATGCTCCGGATCATTGCACTTGGAATATATTAATAATCGAGGTGAAGCCAAGAACTCATTAACTTCCATTACTTGCTCGTTCAGAGTTAATCCATTACTGTTGATAATTTTTTTATATTCATCTGAACAAGTTAGTGCTAAACGTATGTGCCTAGATTTTTCCATCATGGAACCTTTCATTTTTTCTAAATTATAGATTGATTTATAAGCTGATCCTATTTCATTTTTTATCTCTTCGTTAGTAATATAATTAGGTGCGAATTTTAGAACTATGGATTGTTGTGGTGGTGAATGTTTAGGTTGCATTGGAATTATATCAATATTGCATAGGTTGTTTGGATAGTTTTGTGGCTCACAGCAAGACGTATTATTCAATGTGACGAGTGTAACATGCTACATCACCAGATTTGTCTACAAACCAGTAGTCAAAATCTACTGGATGATCATATTTTTGTTTAGCTCCCTAAAAGGTTTTTCAATATATGCTAATAGCGGTTTAATTAGATTATTTGCTTCGTTTTGGTTAACTTTAGGCTGACATATGATTTTTAATGATGTAAAAGGGTTCTCTACAGCATAATGTAAAGCATGATCAGATATAGAAATTGTATCATCGTGTTCATCATTTGAGTTGTTATTTTGAAATGTATTTCTGCTCATATTTTCATTTTCAGTATTACCATTAATGCATGATGTCTTAACTTCATTTTCATTCATCATTTTATTACTTTTATTATTATATTTTATGTCGTGATGGTCACAATGGTAAGTAGAACGGTAAGATTTATTATTGTTAACAATATTGCTTGTTCTGTTCTTACTATTTATCAACATACGTCCGTAATTCTCGTTTGATTTCTTCATTGTTTCTAAATTTGGTTCGATATAATGCATAAGGCATCGTCATTGTTTTGTTTTTCATTGTAATCATTGGTACGTCTTTGTTTGCGTTTATTGTTTTTATTTACTGTAATAAATTCTTCATTTTTACTTATTTCATTAGTTCGAAAATCTTTTTCTTCATCACCATATTGACTTGTTAATGTAAGATGTATTTTGAACGTATGAGTTTGTTTATTATGAACTACATTCCTTTCAATTTCATCGATTCGTTGTTTGTTTTGATTTACTCTATCTAATAACAGTTCACCATTCAAGTCGCTAAAGCGACCTTTGTTATTTTTTATTGAAGTCACACTTTGGTCAGCTAAATAATAGGGCATTTAATTCTATTTTTAATGTCCAGTAATATATTTATTAATAAATTAATTATGCACGGTGCACGTTACAACAGTATACGTACATACAGCAGAAGAAAGAGAATGCGTCTTACCGCTATCGTGCAATGGCAGAAGTGAATACTTTTCAACTTGAGTACCTTTTCCAATGTTAACCCTTTGAATATCTTCACTAGAGTTGTTTTAATTAAATGTCTACTATTGTTCGTTCCTCGTATTCAGACTTTAAGAGTAGTTTTCTTTTTAATAAATCCATATAAGTATACGAATTTCCCACTTTAATCTCATCGGAAGTACACTAATAATGTTTTTCTTCTCCTTTTCAGTCCTTGTTGGTTGTCTGATTGCTTACTTTAATATATCTCTTCTATCTATCAAATAACCTTCATTTCACAATGGCGGATAATATTACGACTACAACAGTATCTATCGGTGGTATTTCATTATCAACTTCTATTCGATTTGGACTCTTAATTGGGTCAGAAATCCCATCTTTGGTCTGTTCACTCTTTGTTCTCTACAATTTCATTTTTGATCCAGCTCTACTCCGTTCGTTACCTCATCATGCTATTATTTGTTTGAATATCACTGGAATACTTTTCAAATGTATCGATGTTCCATTGTATCTCAACTACACTATAATGGATGAGGTATGGCCTCCAACAGCAGCTATTTGTTTGGTTTGGTGGCTGGCTGATTACGGTTTCTATAATGCTTGTGTTGCATTCACTGCATGGATTTCAATTGAACAGCATATTTTTATATATCATAATCACTGGTTATCTACTCCAAGGAAACGTTTCTTCGTCCATTATCTCCCATTATTCTTAATTATTGTCTATCTGCTTGTGTTTTATGTTTGGGTCATTTTCTTTCCACCCTGTGAGAATATCTATGACTATACATTATCAGCATGTGGTACCACACCATGTTATGTCTTACAGCCTATACCAGGTATATGGGACGCAGCTGTTAATGGCTGTCTGATGGCTGCAATCATCGTCGTCTTTAGTATTGGTTTGATCATTCGTGTTTTGATGGGAAAGTATCGTCATCATCAAGCAATGCATTGGCGCCAGCATCGTAAAATGACATTGCAGCTAGTATCAACTTCTTCAATTTTTATCATTTTTGATTTACCAAGTGCGATTGTCATATTTATTCACTTATGTGGCATACCGTTTGATGAAGGAAATATTCTGTTGCCTTATTTCTTTTTTGCTAGTTACTGGCTCATATTCCTGATACCTTTCGTCTGTTTACACTCTTTACCCAATGTAAAACAGAGAATTATGAAGATTCTTTGTATTTCACCTCGACAACAAGCGACCGTTGGTGTTACTATAATGACAGCTCCACGTCATACCACACGAATGTAATGTACTTTTGAATGGCAGTAACTTAAAGACATAAATATTCTTTTTGTTGTATATCCTATTTCATTTATTGTATTCTTCATAACTTAAACATGTAATAAACGTCGTCATATCTTGGTATATTTTATCTTTTGCTGATTAAGTTTTCATGAATCAACTGAGATAGCTCTTTATTTGTTCTTTAGGCAATAGTTTATAAACTAAAAGCATGACAATTTGATCAAAATAGATCTGATTTTGCAGTAGAGAATAATTATCCGGAAGGAATCATATGAGTTATTAATTAAAGAGAAGCACTAACTGCAAAAGGGTGCACCAACACTTGAGCCTCACAAAAAAAATTAATTAATACAAAAGAATTTATTTGAATAAATTTAACAGTTACATCAAAAAATGAAACAATACTCTTGCATGTTTTTAAGTACATAGCTCTTGTTATTATATAAAAAGAAGAAACCAATTGTTGTAATTGTTCATCTATACATTCGCTGATAATATGCTTAACACAATATCTAATACGCATTTTGGCAGAATTCTTCTTTGTTTTGTCATCAAAAGCATTGCTTCTAAAGACGGAAGGAAACTGATCATAAGAAAAACTAATAAATAATTTACTTATTGTTTGATGAGAATGAAATGGACACTGACGTTTTATAAAAAAAAAAACGTGATAATTAGAATTGATCTAGAAAATGCTCCATATCAACTTTCTATTCAAGAAAAGTGTTTTAAGCAAGGGGGAAACGGCGTCAGTGAGCTGCTATTTTTCGAAAATTATCATAGAACAGCAAGAAGAAATAATATTCGCCATAAGATAGAGCTTCCAGGGTATAATCACCAAACAAGATATTGCGTTGTTTTCTTATATTCGTTTGTGTGAGATGTCTATGCTTATCGTTATAATGAATATATACTTCTCTTTGCAATGATTTTTCATGTATTAACCGGAAATATGGCTTTTGAATTCATACGACTGAATGAACCAGGTGTTCTTCCAGTATTAATTACTCTTCAAGGGCTTCCTTTAAATAAATAGTATCGAATGAAAGAAGCTGAATTTTTGTTTGATTCGTTATCAGTACACATGAATTTGCTGAAAACAAATATTGCGGTTGCTACAGCAGACTGTATAGAAGTTATAAAGAAATATCTCATGATAGTCTTACTAACTCATTTGTTAATCTAGTGTCGCCTTTAAATGATGGAATACCTACTAATCTACACTACAAAATAGACTTTTTTTTTACAAAACTTCGTGAATGGTTTTCTAGTGAAAATCGTTCGCATCTTATTAATATTCATATGATACAGCCTATAACTAATATGCAGATAGTACCTAACCCGTTTTTACTTTCTACATTTGGAACAAATAACACATATGAAGTAATTTATATCATCCGTCTATGAATGTGGATATTCGAGCAAAATTCATTAAAAAAGGTTCATATTGTTGGAGTTTCAACGGATGGTGATCCAAAATATATGCGTGCAACGTACATTGTAAGGTTTTTTGCTGCATTAACCAACATTAAATTAAATAGCCACACAAATGCATTTCATGTTAAAATTCTAAAAGAATGGAATTGGTATTTTCTTGGTGACAGTCATCTCTTTCTATGCTTCCAAGGTGCTAGACATCTTTGTACAAAGCTACGTAATCGAGTTCTATTTCCTACAGTTAATACTTTATTATGCATGGTTCTCAGTTTTTGTTAGCTAATTGTGGTATATTTGAATCTATTATATACCAAAAATCTATACGAACTTAATGGTATTATAACTAATAGAAAAAGAAAACAACAACCCCGGTCGAAGAAAGCGATCAGTAAACGGTCGTATACGATACAAATACGGCCCGTTTTACGTGCCGCATTTTCCCTGTATAACAGGGGTAGTAATACGGCCGTATGTTCTATAGAATACGATAACATTAAGCCGGCTTTACGAGGTTTTACGGCTGATATACGGTGTCCGTGTATGGCCGTAATACTGCCCCTGTTACAACGCCTTAATACGGCTTAAAACGGCCGTTTTACGACGGAATATGATGCAAAAACGACCGTTTACGGTGATCCGTTTTGATCGACCTGGGAAGAAACCATTTTTCATTATCACAAACGCATACTGTTGCATAGAAACTAATGCTCACCAATTTATATATCTCCCTTTATTATTAACAGGAAAAAAGGACTACTAGAAGCTATGAATATTTATCTATCCGGTTCTCAGACGAACGAAGGGATATTTCGCTCAGCTCGATCAATGTTTGGAACATTTTATTGGTTTGTAAATTTTAGTGTACAAGAGTTTCTTAATCGTACTCAAAAACTTTCTCTATTAGAAAGGTTCAAAACTGAAATTGAGTTTTACTCAGCAAACGGAAATATTCTTTTTCCAAAACATTATAAGCAGAGAAAACAATTAAGACAATCACAATATGTAATTCCAGGAAATTATATACTGAATGTAGAAACAATAACAAAAGTAATTTTTCAAGCAAAAAATGACGCTGCTGATCTACTTTTTCGATTCAAAATTCAAAATTGTCTTGATACAAAAAAAATAAGAAATATCAAAGCAGTCAACAACTGCATGAAAAATTCATTAATAAAAAGAATAAGTATTCGAGATTATTCTGACTTAAAAGAAGAGGACGAATCATCAGTTTCGAAGAATGACTTAGATGAAATGTTAGGATCAGAAAGTGATGTTGACAGAGAAGATCAACAGTATGAAACATCAAATATCTTGTCGGATGGAATATACGATGATTTAGATGGAATCAAATATCTTGTCGGATGGAATATACGATGATTTAGATGGAATCAAATTTTCTGATATGCGAGTATTCGATAAAGTTCGGTTCGAATTAGAAAAATCTTATTTTGAATTGAAAATCAATCGGAAGAAAAAAATGTATAAGCAAACAAACTGCTTGTTGGATTTTAACGGAAAACAAATCGGTCTTGTCAAACGATCATCTGGCTCGTGTAATTCAAAAATATGATATAATATAATGAGAAAAATAATTACTAGGATCTTTTGTTTTAGTGTAGTCAGAAGTTAATGGTTTGATTTTTTTTCGTATTGACAGATTTATTGATATATCAAATATAGGAGTACATCCTGGTATTATGTTTAAAAAAGAGGACATCCTGTGATTTGATCCGATTAGTTGAAAAGAATAAAATATGAAACGAATTATTGAAACCTACGATAAACTAAATCAATGACTGAGTTGTTAGTTGTTTATATATTTCTACAATAGAGAGACTCGATTAGTGGGTTACAATTTTTGTTCAAACCGATTCATCTCGTGTTAGTACATTTGTAAAAAGAAAACTATTTTGCATCACAAATACAGTTCTATAGCATATTTTATATTCTACTCGTGTTCAAATTAGAATAATTTCAAATCGCAGTGAAGTCAATATGATTTTAGAGAGTAAATATATCTCGGTTACTACAAAAACAAATATCACAAAGAAATAAGGATAATTCATTGCAATCCTTAACACATTGTTAGTCTATGCTTATCGTTCAATGTTTTTTACTCTTTGTACTCTCATTGTACTCCAAGAGTTCACGAAGTCATCGGAGTACCGGAGTACGCCGTTTCCCTCTTGCTTTTAAGTCAGCAAAAACACACAAATCAATAAGCAGCGTTCCTTATTTTATCATGTCAATGAAATTATCTATGATATGCTTGTCTTTCCTAAAAAAAAGCATTAAAATCGTACATTCTTCGAATTAAGTGCGTTTGTACGAATTGTTGAGCAATAATCAATAGGTTAAAAAGAATCTGCTAACAATGGAATTTGTTTTAATTAGGGGTGTCGGCTTAGCATTGGTATTTAGAACATGCTAATGCATTGGTGTTAGAATTAGAAAGTGAACTCTAATACTTTTGCATTAGCATTATCTCGTAATACAAAATTAAGACTAATGTCAACAAAGTATTAAGTATTATCTTTAACACTAATACGAAAGGATTAGGTTTAACCTCTAATGTTAATACAAAAGCATTAAAAAAGACATTAAATACTTCAATACTAATGCTAAACTGACAGCCCTAGTTGAAATGTTGTTAAGTACTTTAAAGACATATATTATGAGTCATTTAGTATACTTCAGGTATTAGCAAGATAACTAAAGGTTATACATGTAAGAATCAATAATATACAAGATGTCAGTAATATATATTCGAAATGGAAACGATTTCATTAATACTACCTGTGGTGTTTATACAGGCATTTTAATATCTTGATTTTGGACAAGGCATTGATCCAAATCTTTCTTTTATACATTTCTATTGAAAATGAAATACATTCTTATCTTTGTTGCAGTATTTTTAACTACCGGCAAGCTTAATTGTGACCAAAAAGAGAAAACAGACTGTCACATTTAATAATTGTTTCATTGATGATAGTCGATTGTGGAAAATATGCTCCACCAGTATCATACACGGAAGCTTGTGCAACGCAAGGTTTTCATAGTGGACATAAAGCTATAAACATTGGTTCTTGTGGACAGAAGCGAGTTAAAATATATGGAGTATGGGATGGTACAGTGATAGAAACATGCAATGGCGCGAAAGATAAAGATTAAAAGGCCTGTAGACTCTATGGAAACCATATCCGAATTAACCATGGCGCATTCGAGGTTCTCTATGCTCACTTGACTTCTAGTTCGCTAATAGTCTCCAAAGGTACCACGGTGAAAAAAGGATAAATGACTGGTCTTATGGGCACTTCAGGATTGTCTACAGGAGTTCATCTTCACGTTGAAACAAAAAAGAAAGCAACCGGTTCTCTGCACAACATGCGAAGTTATCTAAATCTGAAAGGTTGGAAAACCTGTTAGTGATCCCTCGTACAGTGAATATGAGCTATAATTCATTGAAAAGAAAATCTCGTGACTTTCGTTATGGTAAAGCTAAATGATATATTAATAAAGAAGGAAATAACTGATTCAATAAAAGTTTGAGGCGTGGGGATGTGTACTAATGGTAAATACAGATGATTTCAAGCAACAATACGACCGGTTTCGGTTGTTGCTCAGACAACCATCGTCAGGCAAATAGGGATCCCGGCTTATGTGAAATTAAGAACCTTAGCTAAGAGTTACAAACCCGTTGACAACTTCTTCAATTTAGGAGTCATTATTGAAATTGAATTCGAATTACAGTATACAAAGTTTTCAAGAAAATTGAAATAAACTTAAATAAATAAATACATATATCCAAAAAATATACAATTTAAATTACATTGTAAATAAATTCCAGAACTAAACCTAAATAGAAAAAAGACATTTATCTATTAAAAATGAAAGCTACTTACACGAATATTAATGTTGAACAAAATTTATTTAAAGAAGCCAATTATCTCTTAAAATACACGCAGAATTAAATTTTATAGGTTGCAAATAAAAATCAGAATAAAAGAAAGAGTGATCTGTAAAAAATAATTATGCTTACAATCCTTAAGCTATGGAAATAAATTTTTCAAAATGTAACTCTCCTTACTTAATGTATATTTTTTGAAATAAATAAAAATAAAGGAATACACATATATTTCTTTACAGTTATAATTATATTGTACATATATTGTTGCATAAAATCGAAAGGAAAAAATAATCCTAAATATTCAAATAGTAATGCAATTAAATTGTACATGTTATAGGACTAGATCTAGAGCAAAACAGTAAATTTTACTTACATTCCATTTATCTTGTTGAATGGAATATAAAACAAATCTTTACTTTTTTATTGAAATATGTGTGAATTTGCAAGATTTAAATATTTTTGCAATCATTTTAAATAAAACAAAAAAGCATTTATCGATTAAAATATATTCATAATTCTATAGTACAGATTGTTGAATAATATCTAGATAAAGAAGAATAAATTTAAACACCATAATATAACTCTACTTACACAATTTATGCTTATCAACTAAATAAGAAAAAAAGAAGTAATTTATATATTAAAATATAATTCCATTTGAACCAATTGGCTGGTTGAACTAGGTCTAAATATATAAAAAAAAATTAATTGATTCAAATACTATTATACTCACGTTCTAGAAGCTGTTGAAAAACATCGAAACAAAAGAAAAATTATTTTCTTAGTGCAGTATAATTGCACTTGTATCAGTTATAGTTTTGGACTCAATCTAAGTCAATAAGTTGGCTATTAAAATATTATTTTACTTGCATGAGTTCTATTGCTGAAGTAAATGTAAATGATAAAATATAATTAGAAATCGATTGTACGAGTTGTTTCAAAAATAAGTATGTAAATTAAAAAAATAATTCATATATAAAAATGTGATTGTGTTTACGTTGTATTTATTTTTGAACCTTTTCTGAAGGAAAAGATAAGTATTTGCCTCGAGAAATAATTCTAATTAAATTATGTATATTGCAAGGTAAAGCTACGTTAAAACATAATGTGTTTCACTTCATAAGAGTACTTTTGATAGCCATAAATGTCTGTCAAGTGAATCGGAAAGGTTAACGATTTGTTTTTGTGTATATCAATAGTTGCTGGTACTTATTTTTTTCAGGATTTCTTGACATAGATTCTATAGACTTTCTGCTTCAATTCATTGTGTGGACAAGAGCACAAGTGTGAGCATGTTGAAATAGTATCATGGATACGAGGTCCGCTAGAAATTAATTGATCCACTGGAAAGAATAAATTCGGAAAAAATGAGTCCGCACAGTCCTTCTCTATGATTCTACTGTCTCTTTTTGTTTCACAATGTATATATTATATTGTTCGAATGGATCTTTTGTTGACAAAAATCTTGAGGGTGTGGGTTGCATGAATACCCACCCACACCCTTAAGAAAGTTATTGAAGAGCTCAAAAATTACTGCTGCAGAAAAAATTTATTTATCAAAGATTAAGCATATCATAATGAAACAAAATGGTTCATGCTTTGAACAAAACATACAAAAGAAAATAAGCAAAACAGAGTATGATTAATATTTTTGTTGCGAATTCTGAGCAGTCTTCATTTGAATTATTTGACTAGAAGGACAAATTATACAAATTCAATATAAATCGAATTCAAAAACTTACCTTAGCCAATATTTCTCGACCATTTTCCTCTATATTAATATCAGTTGTTTTCGCGATACATGAAAAATCTTTATTTGATAATGAAATTTGCTTAGTGAAAGGTTGTCGTAATGGACTCATTATGAGTAAACGTTGAACAAACCAAATTAATTTTGCATAAGTTGGTGGACTCAATGAACATGATACACAATCATGATGACAAATTAGTTTACCACATATTTGACGACTAAATGTTTGCTGGATTTTTGTTAAAATTTCATCCGCTGTTTTACCGATCATGAATGATACTGGATGATCAAAATCCAGGGACAATAACTTTCCAGTAAGATGTGGACCTAATTCATCATTAAGAAGACTTGTGAATGTCATTCGACTCATATAAAACCAATTGTTCATTGTTAATGATAAAATATTGTATTGAAGAATAATATCTGTGAATACTTCATCCTCCTTATATATATGACCATTTAAACAAAGAACGCCCGTTAATTTTTGAATAGCTCAATGAATCTATGATAGACAATGCTAGCGATCTTTGTCATTATAAGAACATCAATCAGATAGATGCAATTATAAATTTATTTAATAGGCAGCATAGAAATATCGATAATAGTCTATTCAAGATTTATTATTCTAAAAAAACAAAGATTTAAAAAATTGCAATAGGTCATAGCAGAATATGTATTGTGCTTGAACGTTTATTTTAAATATTCAATAAAAATACCATTCTATCTGGGTGTATGTATGTTCACAGGTGGTCAAAGAAAATATCATCTGATAGAAAAATTCATTTTTATTCTCCATGGAATTATATTGAATATTAACCATGACAGCCATTTGCGATTCCATTAAAACCGATATCAACTCAAGATTGCCTGGTTGAAATTCGTAAGTAAAAACGAAAACTCGCAAAGAACTTCATATTGATACACATAAGTTTACGATGCTAGTTTTGATTTAAAACAATATCTTCTAGAAAGAGTATATTAATTACACTCGATTCGAATACAATTATTTGTCATTATGTGCAACTCGACTTGCCTTAAATATAGAAGCTATAATCATGACAAATCCTTGAGTCCTTGAGAGCGTAGCTTCGATATCAAATATGCTAAAGGATTGATAATCGTAGTGAAAATGATAAAAACATCGCTACAATAATCGCTCATTCAAGGCTAAGTCAATAGAAGCATCAACGATTGACTAATCTTTTAAATTTTTTCCTGGTTCTCAATCAAAATTAGAAAGAAAATCATAAATAGTTATAGAATTGAATGCCTACTAGAACTGTTAAGGGGGAAAAAACTAGTTCATGCTGATGACATGACAACCTGTCTGTCACACAAGTATTTGCGTGATTGGCTGGTTGCGTAGACATGTTGCTCGTTGTTCGTCCTCTCCATGTGTATTGATTGGTCTGCGACTACATCTGTTTATTTTGTTTTTCTTCTTATATTTTCAAACGATTCCACGTTGGTGAATTTTTTTTTATGACATAAGATTGGTTTCTTCTCATGAAACCTCAATCAAAAATGCTCGAATGTATTTTGTTGAAGAACATAAATACTGTTCACCAAAGAAAAAATGGTTTTATATAACCATGGTTAGTAAAATTAATAAGAGAGGAAGAAAAAAAAGACACGTCCACCGCACATTTGAAATGGGCTGTAAGCAATCGAGCATTCGGTTTGCTTCTGCATGACTCTTTTTTTCTTTTTTCTTCTTTCATCCTTCGTTTGTTTCTTTTTCATTGCATTTTTTTCCTTTTTATTTCATAGCTTACCTTAGCTGTATTTTATAGAGGTGCGACAATAGGAATACGTTGTATGCTGTACGCATACAGGTTGAAGGAGAAACTTAGAGGACACAATAACTGATTTTTCTTTTGAATAATGCTTCTGTTTCTACTCACTATTCTTTGAATTTTGTCAGTCATCGATTTTAATAGTTCATAATAGAAACAATTGAATTTTATTTATCATTTACTATTTGCTGTTCTATTTTTCTGTTTGTTTGTTTGTTCAGATCTAAATAACCATGAGGCTGACTGTAGAAAGCACGGCTTTCTTCTTTCTAGTAGTGCTTTCGTCGACTAGTGCATTTTATCTACCAGGCTTGGCACCCAACGTATTCTGTCGGAATCCTATACCAGATTCGAAATGCAAAGTTAGTTAAATTAAAGACAATAGCTTATCGATTATATTAAACTCAATTTTTTTAGACAAAATTAGACGTATTTGTCAATCGACTTGATTCGGTTGAATCAGTATTGCCCTATGAATATTCATAGTGAGTGTGAATAAAATATGTTTCTTGAAAATTATGTGATTGCTTTTGAACAACATTTTAGTTTTGATTTTTGTGGAATAGCAGATGAACCATCACCAGTTGAAAATCTCGGTCAAGTTTTATTCGGTGAACGAATTCGCCCATCGCCATACAAAGTAAATATTCAATTGAATTGATTTACAATTTGATATGAAGTCAAAAGAAAACGTCATTTTCTATTTTAGTTTAATTTTTTGAAAAATGAAGATTGCCATTTTGTATGCCAAAAGAAATATGAAGCAGGTGATATTCAAAAGCAAAAAATGCTTAAACGTTTAATGAAAGGAATGGTTTTAAATTATCAACAACATTGGATTATCGATAATATGCCTGTAGCACTATGTTATAGAAATACAGAGAATCAAGAGTTTTGTTCACGTGGCTTTCCTGTTGGATGTTATGTTACAAAAAGTGGCCAATCAAAAGAATCGTGTAATATTCGTGATGGAAAAAATGATACATTTTATGTTTTCAATCATTTGGATTTTGAAATCACTTATCATAGTGGACAGGGTAAGAAATAAATCGATTAAAATAATTTATCGTTGTTTTTTTTTTCTTTTGCTCATCAGATGAAACATGGGGTAGTGCCTTTGGTGAAGATGGTGGTCGAATTATTGCCGCAAAAGTTCAAGTCAACAGGTTTAAAATATGTTTAATATTCTTTTTTTTTTAATTTTGTTTTTGTCAGTTTGAATTCAGATAAATGTGATCGTAGTAGCGAACCAGTTATGTTTCAATCAACGTCAAAAAATGTTGAAATACCATTTACATATAGTGTTAAATTTATTCGAAATAATGAAATACGTTGGGCCAGTCGGTGGGATTATATATTAAAATCATTACCACAAACACGTATTCAATGGTTTTCTATTTTAAATTCCTTGGTTATCGTATTATTTCTATCCGGTATGGTTGCTATGATTTTATTACGCACATTACATAAAGACATTGCTCGTTATAATCAAATGGTTGATGCAGTAAGTGAAAATGATGTATAGGAAAAAAAACGAATATTTTCTTTATTTGTATAGGATGATGCACAAGAAGAATTCGGATGGAAATTGTATGTAGTTTTTTTTTCTATAATTTTTTTCGAAACAATTGAGAACTTAAGGTGCTAGAGTAAAACTGTTTAATCCTCATTGAATATAGCACGCTGAATTATCTATAAAGATTTTGTGTTGGATATATTTAAACGATAGATTTCTAGTAAAATTTTGACGAGATAAATTTAAAAATACCATACGCCGATAGAAAATATTCTTTCTCATGATTTTTTATGTATTTGTATAAAAATAGAGTTCATGGTGATGTATTTCGACCACCACAAAAAGGAATGCTCCTTGCCGTTCTCATTGGCAACGGTGCTCAAATTGCCATCATGTCATTAATTACTCTAGGTAAGGTTATTCAATTAGATTATCAATGTGTTACCTGTTTTTTTTATTTAGTTTTTGCCTGCTTCGGCTTTCTTTCACCAGCAAGTCGAGGTGCTCTGATGACTTGTAAGTGGTCTATAATCGACTATTTATTGCACTTATTCTTTTTAAAACTATTTCTTCTAGGTGCTATTGTCTGTTATGTTCTTTTGGGTACACCCGCTGGTTATACATCAGCTCGTTTATATAAAAGTAAGAAATTATATCCCAATAAAATTTATCTAGTTGATTATTTTATAGTGTTCGGTGGCGAAAGATGGAAGAAAAATGTTCTTATGACAGCTGTTGCATGTCCTGGGTACGATTTAAATAATCAATTGTTATAACAATATCAGTATATGTTGTCATTATTTCTAGCGCAATTTTTGCCATCTTCTTTATTTTAAATCTCGTCCTTTGGGCAAATGGTAGTTCAGCAGCCATTCCATTTACAACATTTTTAGCACTGCTTGCTCTCTGGTTTTGTGTTTCAACACCATTGGTATTCATTGGTGCTTATCTTGGTTTCAAACGACCAGTAAGAACATAGAACAAACGACGACGCTTCTTTTGTTTTCTAAAAAATATCTATTGACTTTTCTTAAATCAAGGTTTCCGATAATCCTGTTCGCACCAATCAAATACCACGTCAAGTACCTGAACAAACTTTATATACTAAACCAATACCAGGTAAACTGTTTTTCTCAGGCTAAAAATAACGATCCTAGCCTAATTTAATCTTTCTTTATTTAAGGCATATTAATGGGTGGTATTCTACCATTCGGTTGCATATTCATTCAACTATTTTTTATTTTGAACAGTATTTGGTAAGTATCTCTTTTTTTGTATCTCAAGGTAATCGATTTTAATAATTCTTTGAAGGGCACATCAATATTATTACTTTTTTGGATTTTTACTTGTCGTTTATATTATACTGATAATAACATGTTCAGAAACAACAATTCTTCTTTGTTACTTTCATCTATGTGCTGAAGTAAGAATATAGAAAAATTTTATTCTGATAAAGAAAATAATTTTTATAAAATTTCTAGGATTATAATTGGTGGTGGCGCTCGTTTTTAACATCGGGTTTTACTGCAGTTTATTTCTTTCTCTACTCAATCTATTATTTTGCAACAAAATTAGAAATATCTGATGGAACATCAACATTTCTTTACTTTGGTTATACGTTGATGCTTACATTTATTCTATTTTTATTCACAGGTAAGTTAAACGATAAACTCGAGAAAATGACTATATTATTTTTCTTTTACGTTTTTAAGGCACAATCGGATTTCTTGCTTGCTTCTGGTTTGTTCATATAATCTATTCTGTCATCAAAGTGGATTAAATAAATTTTGATAAAATACGAAAAGACAAGATATTGTGATCAACGCTTGCTAAACAAGCTTTTTTTCTTTTTTCGAACTGCATCATTCTTCTTATTTATCGTCTCTTTTCTTTCTCAGTTAAATTTGCCATGTCAATAAATGTATTGTCCGTTGGTTTAGCTTCTTTGTCTATTTAATTATACTTAACTTTAATTACTTTCTTTTTCGAGATAAATCGAATATGCATATACATATATATATATATATTCGATGAACAAACGAAAAAAAAGTGACATATTATTTTTTTTCTCGGTTTAGTTTGTTTTCCACTTTCATCTCATATTATTATTCGTTTGCGTTCGTTCTCTCAGTTGTTATTACAAATAAAAGGCGAAGAATAAATTAGAAACTATTGAAGCAAATCTATGCTGAGATTATCTATTAGGATTTACTGAACACTTTTTCTTATGAAAAGAAAAATAATGAAAACATTTGCAATTAATTACAGCATAGTATGACTTCGAAAAATACTCTGGAGAGAATGTTATTGTTTAGTGCCATCATTGTTTACAAAAAAATATATTTTAGCAATAGCATTATCAAAACTCTCGAAATCGATGTCGAAAAGTATAGCTCCAGAAATTGTTGCAATAAAAATGCGTGACTTTCTGTCGACAAACAACAGAACATTTTGTTTGTCCTTTCATCACTTCCCTTCAAAAAGAAACTTTTATTATCGTATGGCAAAGATTTCGTCACACGTAGAAGAAACAAACGCTACGTCGTCATTTTTTCATTCGTGTCGATGGCAATGCTACAGGCAAATATTCAAAAACACACTGATGAGAAGCATTTCTCTTTCTTGTGGTTGAGCGCCTCAATAGAACTTTCCCAAGAGCATATCGAAGCCGAGCAGCAACTTCAGCATATTGGCAAGTGCTTTATTACATTTTCTGATCAAACAAAATGTGAGAAATACATTAAATCACGCCGTAAAAAACATAAACTGATATTAATTGTTTCTGGAAACTTGGGTCAAGAAATTGTTCCTCTGATTCATGCATTAGAACAAGTCATTTCAATTTACATATTTTGTGCAAATAAGGAACTACATGAAGAATGGGCCAAAAATTTCTCTAAGGTAAGCGCATCAGCCTATGAGTTAGTCACTGCTGTTATCAAAGTTTTAAGTTTTACTCACTCGTTTAAATGTATAAATGAAATATTCCCTTAGAATGTGTTTGTGACCTTACTGAGATTCTTGAAATATCATCTTGCAGAAGATTTTATTACATTATCTACAGGATACGGTTCATATATTGAGAATGCTACTTTTGTTTAGGTGAAAGGTGTCTTCATTCAACTAGAAGATCTTATCACTGCAATCCAATTAAATGCTGAAGAAAGAGTGCATAGATTTAATGAACCGCTCTCGATGTGTGTTAACGAACCGATTTCCACGCGTAGCAACAGTGATTCAACCACCGGAATCGAGGGTGATTTTCTATTTTTACAACTTATCCTAAGTGTGCTGCTAAAAACTTATCAATCGGTGGCCGCAATCGAAGAGGTCGTTGTTTTCTGCAAAAAAACGTGGAATGGGGAGAAAAAAATGCTTCAGCTGCTGAAACCGTATAAGAAATCATATTCCTCGGATAAAGCGTTATGGTGGTATACTAGACAGTCGTGTCTCTATCCACTATTGAATAGAGCGCTTCGAATGCAAGATATCGATGGTATCTTTGCTTTTCGATTTTTTATCCGTGATATATATAATCAACTGTGTTATCATCGATGTGCCACGGCTGTGAGGGTCTACAGAGGACAGCAGATTTCTGAAGTCGAATTAAAAGTATTCGAAAAATGTGTCGGACAATTGGTTTCTTTCAAGCCGTTTTACTCAACTAGTCGTAATCGAGAAGTTGCTGAGAAGTTCGCACATAGTGGTGGTGGCAACGGTACCTCTCTATGCTCAGTCTTGTTTGAAATCGAAGCTGATCCTCGTCGCACAACAACGAAACCGTTTGCCGACATTAGTGTATTCAGTGACTTTAAAGACGAAGCTGAAGTACTTTTCATGTGTGGCTCCATTTTTCGTATACTCAACGTTAGCCGTGGCCAAAACGGACTTCACATCGTTAGATTACAGCTATGCTCTGATGACGATCATGAACTTAAGAAACTCTTCGAATACATGAATAAACAAAATGTCAGTTGGGATGGTATACTTGCTTTTGGTAACTTGCTTTTACAAATGGGCAAACTCGATGATGCCGAAAAATATTATCGCATTGGACTAACACAGCTTGGTTTTAATCATATCAATATCGTCTACTACTATCATGGGCTTGGTATTGTGCACAAGGAAAAAGGTGATTACGCGGCAAGTTTCGAATGCCTCCAAAAGTCACTTGAATTATACAAGAACATGGAAAATCATAGTTCAGTTGCCATCGTCTATAACAATATTGCAACCTTGCATTTCAACAAATCTGATTACAAACAGGCTCTTGACTCGTACAACATGGCATTAGAGATTTACAGAACACAAAACAATGTGGATCATCAAGACATTGCTATGTGTTACAATAACGTGGGGGCTGTCTATTATGAACAGAAAAAATATTTAGAAGCTCTTGAATACTATCAAAAAGCATTGACGATCTTGGAGAAAATACTTCCGGTCGATCATCCTCAGTTAGGAGGATATTACAATAATATCGGAGATGTTCATCTTAATCTTGGTCACGATGTTTACGCATTTGAATATTATCGTTTAGCGCTTAGTATCAAGGAGAAAACCTTACCTGCCAAACATCCTAGCACTGCAACAACACATCAGAGCATTGGCCTTGCTCACGAATACAGTGGTGATCTAAAACAGGCACTTAAACATTTTGAAATAGCAGCAGCTATTTATAGTGATTGTTTGCCTGAAAAACATGTCAATGTTGTGGAAATCAAAAAGCACATATTGCGTGTTACCACAGCTATTGGCGAAAAAAAATCTCCTTAGTATATGAATTTACTCCGTTGAACATTTGTCACCTTTTAATAAATAAATAAATGTAATTAATGATATAGATACGACTGATCAACTCAATGAACATATCGAGTCCGGCTTTTTATTCATCGTTGTTCAAGTTAGAAGAATAGTTTGTAGATGACGCTCACTTTTTTTCTTTCAACAAAAATCAAAGTTTTATGCCATTACTGACACGCAATGTATTTTTATATTCACTTCAAGAGAGTATCATGCTAGCAACAGAACGAAAGAAAGAATTGCATCAAAACAGTTCTATGAGTTGGCTGCTTAAACAAACATTCACCTGAAAGAAAAAGAATAAATACATGATTTTGCAGGTAGATAGAATTGCATATAAAGAAAACTATTGTGTGTCATGATAAAATATGAATCATAAAAATGCGTGCACATTTTTCTTATTGCTTTCAGATGAGAAATTGTGTAAATGATGCGTATGATAGTTTGATCAAATTCAAAATCCAATGACAAAACAAACTACATATAAAAATCCGAGCACTTCCACAGCAGTTCCTGGTAATAGAGTAATCTCTTCAAGCGAAGAAATACGTAGCCTCGACGAAGTGCAAGTCAGTATTAAAAACAGTCACGGCACTCGCGCAAATAGATCACATCAACCTCCTCTATGCGCAGCAATAATTAATAGACCACATGTCGGCATGGGCATGCCTCAAGACAGGCTATTTCAGCCAATGGCACCGACATTGCTACCCCCGCCAAAAGAATGTTGCGCATCTTGTTCTGAAGCTTGCCGCAGCAGGTGTTGTGATTGTTGCATGCGAAGGCCCTGCATCATAGCCACGAGTGTGATGAGCGGTTTTTTAATTGTCACTATCATCATTATTTCGGTCGTGCTCACTACGCTGAACGGTTCACGAAGCAGTAGTAGTACTAGTGGTAGTGGTAGTACTGGCAACAGCTCTGGTGGCGGTGGATCAATCGCAGGTAGGTGTGGATATTTTAGCTATCTAGAGCGTAGCCAGATAAGAGATCTGCTCGTAAAATCAAATGAAACAGGAGTCACTAATAGGTTATTCTCGCACAATACTTCAATTAGGCTATTATTGAGATATTATTTATTAAAGAAGTATTGACCAACTATGCACTATGATATCCAACAATTTTTAATAGGAGAAAGTCAGTTCAATGGATTATGCATAATATTACAAAAATGATCGAGACTGACCAAATTTTATTTACTGTTGATTTGAAGGCATCGTATTTCATAGTCGACTAAAATAAAAAAATCACGAACGCTGTTAATAGATACAATTAATAATTTAAACGTAGAATTGCAAGAATGCGTCCACACTAAAGCGACTTAGTCAATGTTAGCATAGCAATGCATGTCAATTACATCTATCATTTGTTACGCATTTTGCACAATAGAGTGAAATGTGTCGTTGTGAAAATTTGCCTTCGGGGCAGTTTTTAGAGGAGATAACGTATTTGCCGATGAGAGTCCTCGTTCACAAATATGCCATATACTAATTCACCTCTTTTCGATCTCTCTAGGTGTCAACCTATATGCTAAGAATTTCAGCATTTCAACAACTTTAACAGAAAATCACGCATACAGTCGATATCAAGGTGTCGGATCCAATTACTACTATGATACTATTCAAGTTGCTCCTACCATAAATGGTACCTACACTTTTATGACTGCTAGTACCATTGATACATATGGTTACATGTACGAAAATAGTTTCCTTCCAGCATTTCCAAATGTAAATTTGTTAGCTTCCGACGATTCAAGTGCTGGAAATGGTCAATTTGCACTTATATTGTTGCTTCAACCTACAGATAGTTACTACTTGGTGATAACAACATATCTCCCCAATGTGACTGGATCATATACATTGTTGGCTTCTGGTCCTCAATCTTTCGGCATTGGCTTTATGAATTAAGCAGTTGAGATCATCAGAATATGAGTTGGGTGTGAATTTTCTTTTCAACTATACCTGCATCTACATCTACGCTCTAGGTCAACCGTTCTAACTGTACATTGATTGATGAATTAGATTAGTTTTATTGAAAATATGCTTATGCAATAGACCATACAAGGCCAGTCAATGGTTAATTATCCGGCAGGACGCTGACGTATTAATTCGAAACTTTCAATGCAATTATATATATCATGCTTTCACACACATATGTAGAGTTCTTCGCAGGAGCTTTATAATAATGTAGTTTATCTAAGCATCCAAATCGTATTGCCTTTTTTAGTTTCATCATGTTTTCAAAACTACTTATCGGACGTATTCTTTTAAGGATACTTCTTTTAAAGTCTATTTGTTGCTTTCAAAATAATGTGTGATTGCAATTCAACAGACTATTTCTTACTGTGCAAAATATGGTTGTCATGTGTTACAGTAGTGAGGGCTTCACAAATTCAAGTAGAAATACTCTATAAGATTACTACATGCCAAATAAGTAAACCATGAAAATGACCTTTTTACTTTTTCTTTCAAATCTATTTGATAGTTAATAAAAAAGTCGACTAACAACATTTGTGGATAATTCGAAAAATAGCTCATATTCAATTAGCTCATTTAGGCACTAAGATTCGATTTGGATAATGTGTTACTTTTTTTCGGCTATTATAATTATGTATTGATGCACTTTTTGGTAGCTACATCCGTTTATATTGTTACTAGATAGACACCGTCTTCTTCGTTTTTTACTCAGCGGTGACTTTATCAGTGAAGAGATGCAGTCGCTATTCAGAATAGTTTTCAAGTAAAAAGAATCTCAAAAGCAGTGAATGATGCTTAAGGCTATTGATGTTTTCAACGACAATGGAATTTTAGTCTGTCAGTGATGCCGTATTTGTGTACATATGCAGTTCAAGAGCAAAACTCGACGACACGAACGAACGAAAGAGAAAAAACGGAAAATGAAAAATAAAAAGCATTGCATCGAAGCAATGCTACGAGTTTGCTACTTAAATAAACATTGGATTGAAAAAATAATGAATGTACGATATTACAGGGAGGCATGATTGTTGAGAAAGAAAATTTTCACACACAGTCATACAAGGTGAATTGCATGTAAATTTTGTTTTTTGTTTGTTGTCGACTACAGAGCAATAGTAAGAATAGTGCATGTGTTAGTCGAACCGAATTCAGCATCTAATGGCGCATCAATTTAATAATGATAGCAATCCAGGTATGCTATTCATAGTTGCTCGTCAGTAGTTCTTGTTATCTTTTCCTAATAATACTAGGTAATACTGGCTATCAAGATACTTTTCAGGATCCCCGCCCGCATCCAGAAATGATGGTTCCACAGCCGAGACATGAAATGGTTGTTGTACAACCTATACAAGAAATCAACTTAGCAGTCCATCATCCACCTAAACCGGAAGATGCTTTTTCTCAATTCCCAATAAGATATCGACCATATCCTTCGTCTACGTCATGTTCGAAGCATTTTCGTCAATTTTGCCATGATATTTGGTGTAATAAGCGTTGTATCATACTTATGATTGGTATAGCCATTTTCGCAATCACTCTCAGTGTAGCACTCGCCATTCTACTCCCTTCAACCAACAATGCTCGTAGTACTCAACATCCGACTGGTATGCGCTTTTCTATTCACTGAAATCTGATATTATTTAGGGCTCATCATTTATATCTTACCGGTGAAAACACAAATGTCTGTATTCACTTTCTGTACATCGCTAAGTTAGCTAGTCACGGATGAAAAGTCGTATGAACTAGTAGTTAGGGAACATCGGCGGAATAAATCTAATTTAATTCAAAACTAATAGCACAGTTCGAAACACCTTAGCTAACTGAATCAGTCTATGCACATGTTTCAAAGCGTTTTCATTGACAGCTGGTAAAATGACGGCTGAGGATTCATGTAGCATCATCAATTAGTGTAACATGATATTATCAGGATGCATGCATCACGCTCGATTCAAGGAAAACATTGTATGAAATAAGAACGTCAGATCTCTATGCAATAGCAATTTCTTTTCACTTATCAGTTTGACATATACGTATATTTCAAAATACTTATGATTACCGCAGAACCTATATTTAATAGTACTAATCAAACTTTTTCCTTTCTTGTAGCAATCACCAACACAGTCTCATCAGAATTGACAGCAAGTAGTCGGGCATACATTCGCTATCAAGGTGGCGGCTGCAACTTCTACTTTGATGCGTTCCAAGTGACTGTCCCAACGATTGGTACTTACATTTTCAGTAGTAATAGTAATATTGACACATACGGCTATATCTACAGTGGCAGTTTTTTTCCAACTTCGCCGAGTGAAAATTTGTTGGCTCAAGATGATCAAAGTGCTGGCAACAACCAGTTTCAATTGATAGTGAACCTTCAATCCAATTTTACCTACTATTTAATTTTTACGACATATATTTCTAACGTAATAGGGCCATATTCAGTGACAGCTTCTGGTCCACAACGAGCGAACCTTATCTTAACCAATATGACATCAACAGAAACCGGTAAGTGAACTGATAATTGAAATAACTAGCATAGAAATCTATCTATAGTAGTCAATTCATATGCATTCAGCACTATTGTCTTATCAGCTTTAAACAACAGTAATAGCACCCTCACTCGTTGCGGTGGTCATGGGCAAAGCTACTACTATCAGACATTTCGAGTGACTGTTTCATCAGCTGGCATTTATAAGTTCATCAGTAATAGTAGTATTGATATGTTTGGCTATATATACAAGAATGGTTTCTCACCTATTTCTGTGACAACAAATTTGTTGGCCTACGACAATGAAAATGCCGGCAGTAGTCGCATTCTTTTGGTACTGCCCCTTCAATCTACTACAACTTATTATTTATTGGTAACAACATATAGCGTCAATGTAACTGGACCGTATGCACTGATCGTTTCTGGCCCTCAACGAGCCAGTCTCGTTTTAACTAGCATAACATCACCAATAACCGGTAGGTGCTCTGTTTTACGCACGAAAATAGCGTAGAAGATTTTCTCTTTTTATTCTTGACAGCTCTGATAAATGTAGGTCTCGACTAACAAAACACAGCTGATAAATTAGCGTCTTTATTCAAATGTGACCTATTGTGCGCAATAGTACATTAAACTAATACATTTTGATAAGAAAATTCTGTCCTATATACAAACAATCCGTCGATTGTTTATGTCAATTTTTGAATTATTTTGGCAAGCATATAATCATCTCTGTGTTAATTTTCAGTTTTTATGATAAAGCTGCTGAAACTAGAAAAATACAGATATCCAATTCTGGTAGAGCATTAAATCCTAGTGCGTGCCTTCAGTATGTTTCAGGCTTTACGGCTGAGACTTGCATGAGTATCACCTATTAAGACATATTGCAAGAATTTTAATTAGTTCCATGAGCTCGATATGCCATAACTATTTTGGTTTTATTACTTGTAGGATTCACAATTTATTCCTATTACTCGAGTGCATTGACTACCAACAGTTCTACTTTTCAACGTGTTGGCTTTTATTCAAACTACTATTATGAAGCAATCAGAGTGACTGTACCCAATACCGGCGCTTATTACTTTCGAAGCAACACTACCGTTGACACGTATGGTTATTTATATTTGAATAATTTTGATCCTTCGTCGATAGGAACAAATCAGATCAAAAGCGACGATGACAGCGGTGGAAACAGGCAGTTTCAGCTTTCATCATCTCTCAGTTTTGATCAAAGTTATGTCTTGGTTTTTACAACTTACAATCCCAATGTAATAACCGATATTTCAATTATAGCATGGGGTCCAAACACGATAATGTTTGCTCGTATTTCTTCTAATAGTTAGGGTAGAACTAATGGTGATTTCACTCTTTTAACTATAGTTTTTTCTGCTTGTATGCTATCGAACGGCCTCTTTGTTTAAAACAGACAGTGTCAAACCCTCTAAGAATAGTTCGTTTTAGTTAATGTAAATAAATACCATTTGTTTTGATAAACGATAGAAACTATTATTGCAACCACCGCTTCGCTCTGATAGGTGGTATACGTGAGGGTGTAGGTGTAATTGTTTTCTTAGCCCACACCCTCTTTCTTATCTCGACGTTGAAATAAGCAACTAGGCTGGCGATTTTATTACATCAATCCATTACAAACGACTCTGCTGTCACGTCATATATTTGTATATTCTGCTCAAGGTGATTTGCTTCGAGTAATCTGTTATTCATTAACGTTGTATTGAATACATCAACTATTATGTCAACCAGTACCCAGTGAACATAACCGAGCTTCCAGGATTACAAGTCATTATACGCATGAAAACGTTTCACTGATTACAAAACAACTATACATAACAGATGGAAATCTGAATTTAGTCACACGCCATTGGTGATAATCAAACTAATAGTTGGAACAAGAAAAAAAATCGAACTTTGGTTCGCGATATAGTATATACCGAAACCCGTAAGTATCGAGACACTACAAAAAGAAAACAAATAATCGTCTATACGCATCAGACATAAACTTTGCACAGCGATCCGATTACATCAATAAACAATAATTAATTGATATGCTGCTTTCTCATTGTAATGAATATTTTTCTGCCAGAAAATAATATTCTAATAAAAAAAAAGAGCAATCTTAATACATTCTCCATCAAACATTAAATTCTGCGTATTTTCTTTCACAAACTCGTGGTAATTTCACATTGAAATACATCAGAAGACCCTGAAATATCCAGCATAGATGAGTACACTCTGTCTGTGATTTCTAATTACTTTTTTTCAAATAATTCAAAACAAGTAAAACATAGTCAAAGCAATGTAATGAGTTACTTAAACAAGGTCAAAATCGAAATCTCAGTATTTATTTACGATATGATGAAGAAACACCTACGCGACAAAGCGAAATTTTGCTTGATATTTGACGAAGATAAAAAATCCTCATTTTAATGAATATACTATAACCATCCATCAATCGTCCCACTACACAAATATACAGGCTATGATTTTATATGTATCATTGATTCGGACACAGACAAGGTTTTCTCTCTTTCTCTCTTGTCAGTGATCGATAGAAGAATAAAAGCTGGAGCACAAGCCTACAACTGCATATTCATTCTGGAAATTCTGAGAGTATACAACCAAAATGGTCAATATGATCAAATTAGTTTCTTTAACCGTGCGCATGGCATTCCTCGTCTCAACATGCATCGCATTCGAGGAAACAAACGAGCGCCGGTGCACTCTCCGTGAACTGATTACTGTGCTGGACAATAAACGTCATTTTTAGAGTGATTATATTGTTGTTTGATTGTAAATTACGTGATTGAAGCAAATCTTTGCTTTTGAAATGATGAATATATTTAAATGCTGCACTAAAGTTCGGGCTGGTCCTGCTGGTTACACTTTAAACTATTCATATTTTTGCTGATGCTTCATGAAATTAGGAACTAGAAATCTGTTTGTTCGATATGAGTGAAGTATTTGAATAAAAGTTTGTCTATGTTCCAGACAACTAATGGATACATATATAGGCATGTTGCTGCCCATAGAAGCCGTTTTCATGGTAAGCACTAAAGAGAGATTAACAAAGACGGATCAATGTAATCAGGATAGCTGGGACAGGTGAAACTTATTATTCACTCAATCATCCGTGCATTTTCCGTCTCTCTCTCTCTCTCTCTTTCTCTTCCAGTCGGTGAAGATTTTCTGTTGAAAATAATGCATACTATTCTATAGTTTCATGATTTTGCTTTCTGTTTAGAAATTACGACAGCCGCATTTTGCTAACTGAACAACGTACATAACTGAAGACATAATAAATAGCTACCGTATTTAATTTGAAATAATTTATAACATGACATCATTACAAAGTTTTCTCCAATGAAATTTTTCTCTGTATGAAAAATTCGAAGCGCATCCTAATGCAAAAGTGATTTCATTCATAGAAATAAGAAGAATTGCCGAATAAAAGAACAGAAGTATTTTCAATTCTTCTACCTTCTAGTTGGAATCGACCAACTTTGCTCGTAAATATATCTGCGCATTTTCGATTCACGTTCACTTTTTCTTTTTCATTTCTTCAGTTAGAAGCTTGCTTTAAATACACAATTCGTACCATCAGCAAAGAACATAAATGACAGAATCAACAACAGGCAGAGCAGAATGTTCTACATGTGGCAAACACAAAATCGTATATCTATGCGAAGGATGTTCACAAAAGTTTTGCTTGAAGGATTTAACAGAGCATCGTCAGCTACTCGACAACCAGTTGGATCAAGTTATCACTGACTGTGACCAATTCAGACAAAATCTTATTGAGCAAAAACAAAATGAAAATCAACGTTCATGGATACAACGAATTGATGAATGGACAGAAATTTCAATAAATAAAATCAAACAAACTGCAGATGAATGTAGAAAAATATTCATTAAATATACTAATGACAATGTCATCGAAGCAGAAAAAAAATTTAATGCGGTTGTTACAGTATTAAGAAAAAATCGCCAAGAAAGTGAAATTGACGAAATTCATTTAAATCAAGCAAAATTCTTATTGAAAGAACTGCAAAAAGAACTTGATCAATGTTCAAATATTTCAGTTCAGGAAGATTCCGTACCGCTAATAAAGAAAATTTCAGTTTTTCGTGAGTATGATCAATATATCCAAATTGATCGATGAGTTTACTCATCGGCGAAGATGAGAACTCCTTATAAAGATATACCTTTAGTTAAAATAATTAGAATATCAAGAAACTATACAGTTATTAATAACTGACTACGAAAAAAAGTATTCCTATTGATTGACGATGTGCTTTCCTAGCTTGCGCAATGATTCTTCGAGTCCTGTATGATCTACAACTCTCGAATATACAGTTCACTAGGCTTCTAATAGTGGTTCATATGTATATCATGAGAAAAGTTTGTTAGCGTAGTTTACAACTTGGAGCAGGAGCCATCAACCAACGAATGGCTTATTTTCTGATCGATAGTTATCAACATTAGTGACGAGGAATCATACTCTTTTTTTTAAATCATTTTCGGCATGACGTAATCTTTATTGATTCTTTCATATTCAGAACTAAACAGAACAGTTCATTTTTCTTATCGAATACCAACAATTACTTGCCTGTTAGGCAGTGGCGGAGCCAGGGGGGAGCTAGGAGGGGCTCAGCCCCCCTAGCGAGATTTTAGAAAATGCATTTTTTATTATAAACGTGTATTAATGTTTCCGGTTTAACGTTTTAACAAGTGCTGCCAGGTACCGAACTCAAAAATCAAGAAAAAAATCCAGAAAAATTTTCAAAATCCCTAAAAAACTGCAAAAAGACTTTTAAAATCCGGGGGAAATCCAGGAGAATTGTCAAAATCCGAAAGATCTGTCACAACTGTTCCTAAAGCACGCTTTAAAAGTGACCCCTCGCCCCCAATTTTTGGATGTTCGCGACACCTCTGAGGAGCTGAGCCCCCCCCCCCCCTCCGCCTAGCCCAAAATCCTGGCTCCGCCACTGTTGTTAGGATCAAGAGAAAACTATAAAATAGCATCATCAGTCAAAATGGTTTAAGTAACAGATAATATTCAAGGATATGATGATGACCTGCAAATTTTCCTTGCTCTCAGGGATACAGATATCCTTTAATGGAATATCATCTCTATTTTAACAGAAAGCTTAGTATTCTTTTTTTTAAACTTTTAACTTTGAAGACGATTCATCCATGATAATCAAATGTGAATACTGCCATAATGGATGTGAAAGAAGTGACTATAAAACTCATAAGGTATTCTTTGTTTTCAATTATTTTTATCAGCTCTTCATCATGTTTTTCTAGAACTACTGCTTTGAAAATCCATCGAATATTAATCAAAGACAGACAACTGTAATACCGATCAGATCGAATCAAAACCAAGCAAGTTCGCATGATATTGTTCATATTCCATGTGAGATTTGCCAACAGCTAATTGATTTACCTAATTGGTCAAATCATATTGTAAATTTGTCAGAAACTGATTATTTCATGTTATTTTGAATTTATTTTATACAGCAAGGTTGTCATGAGCGAGAACTGCAGCGTTCAGAAAGATATCCCGAGTAGGTCTCTTACTATTCGATAAATAAAATTTATCCGATATATATTCTAGAGCCATGAACCAACAATCAGTTATTGAACGCTTTCCGTGTGAATATTGTCAACGATTATATTTAGCGCAACAACTTTATGTACACAAAGTAATTATAAAATAATCCTATTTATATTTAAATATTCCGTTTTATTTCATAGATAAACTGTATGAACAATCCGGTTGATATATACTTGCGACGTGGCTGTGTTCAACGACCAAAACCTTCAAATAATGGCTTTCTACCAATCAGCCCACAAAATAATCAAAACAGCCCAAGTTCGCCTAGTGAGTCATATAAATATATATATATATATATTTATTATTCTATAAACAAGATGAAATTAATCTATAAAATTCTTCTTTAGAGCCTCGATCTTCAAATGATTCTCGTTTTACTCAATGCCAAAGTATTGATATTGATCGTGCAAACCAAGTCAATAGGCCACCGGACAATGAGATAGGTAAAAAGCAATATCATGTACGAGAAAAAAATATCAAAATATTTTTGAATCAGAAAACTCTGTTCGGAGTGGTCGTAGTTATGAAAACTTATCGATAGGATCGAATAAAGATCCATTACAGCTTCCAAGAAAATTTTATTCAAGTAATTAGTATTTTATTCATCACATTCATCTTACTAACATTTGAATAGGTGGCATTTCACGACGTGTAAGATCATTTGATAACTTAGGAAGCATCTATGATAGTAAATATTTAAGTAATAACTATGAGGATTATCTCATACGGCCCAATAACAATCATCAACATCAAAATAACATTTCCCATACAAATGAAGTGAGTTAATCGATACAATTTTGACCTATGAATAATTTACTTCATTATTAGAGACTGTAACTAACGGACGATGATCGTATTCGCCGCACAGAGAGCACGAAGAAAAACTTTGGGTAAATATTAAAGCAATATCCTTTCAATTGCTTAATTAATCTTGAAAACTGTGTATCATATAGCTCAGATTTTTTAAAATGCCAATCAAAGTATTTTGAGTGTGGTCGCGAGTCTAAAATGTATGTAGCAATCGTAGATTTAGATTGGAAAATTTTGATTTTTTTCTTTTCTAAAATACAAGATTTGTTTTTGTATTTATTTTAGAGTGTAAGAATTAATTGGTCGTGCAAGTTGAATTCGTACCGATGACTAGAATTCGATGAAAAAATAAAGAAAATGACTTCGCTATTTTGCACCACCCTCCGTCCATCGTTCACTTGTCTTGAATTATTTCTTCAACGTCTATTATTTATTTCAGTTATGTATTTGCATAAAATTTAAATAAGCTAATTTTATTATTAAACTTTTCATCGTGCTTATATCAACATTTTAACCGGTGAATAGCCGCAGTAGATTTACATATTTCATGTTGTCAACCTGTACAAAGCAAAGCATCGAATACAAATCACTTTAAAATATATCAATTGAAGCTTCTCGTGATTGATATCTTGAACATACAGAATTTATGTTAAACAAAGCATTGTATAGGAATCGTTTTATTGATTTATATCATCTATCGTGACTAGATATTTTCTAAAATGTGAGATAATTTATTGCTTAGTTTTTATCATCCAGTACTTGCTGATTTAGTATCTAGATAAAACGAATTTCTCTAGTCACACTGACAAACACACACTTGAAAAGAAAATCAAGTTATATAACATAGAAGAACATTAAAACATCACTCATGCATAAATTTAAGATTTTAAAAATTTGCTTCAGGATATCGAAGATCAAATGCTCTTTGTAAATATTGCAATTAAAACCACAGCAGAATTAGACAAAAAAGATCAAGCCACGTCTAAAAGTATCCTGTTGAAAATCGAATTACTTATTGACCTTTCTTTTCATGTTCAGCCCAATCTGAAATAGATGTTTTGCACTTACCTTTATCTAATATTTACCTCTTCAGTTGTGTCTTCCATATAGATTAAAAACATGTGCTCTCAGAAAATGCCATAGATTTGTCTTATGGATATCGAATTCATCTCTTCGATACTCGGCTTCCAAGACGCATATGAAGACAACGTCGAAGATACACCGATGAGATTCGATGCATTGTTGTGTATTTCAATATTATCAACACAAACAAGCATCGTCTCCATATCGGTGGCCTTCGACATGCTCGATCGACCCGAAGCATCGGTATTAAGCGACGATAGCAGGGTTTCTTTGTGATCGAGACACGCCGGAAGCCGGGTTTCTAACTTAAACATAAAAAGTCCAAGTAAATTCGAAGAATGAATTATTATACCATAGGCAAATCTAGCACAAACGAGAGCACACGTTTCCAATCCGTCATCGTGTAGGTTTTTTAGGCCACCGGATGTGTGTTTAATAACACAGCACGCGGTTGATGATCAAAACTGGAAGATGAGAAAAAAACATAAAAAGCATGTCTTTATATAGCTATCGACGTTATTTCACAAGCGATAGTCAACATAAAATATTCTCGAAGAACAGAACGAAGAAAAAAAAAGATTGCTTATGGCCTTTTGATGGTGCAAGATGTGTTTTTTTTTATTTAGCATGCCTTCGCTACAGTATTGACTTAACAAGCTACAATGTATTTCGCCATTCAAGAGACGGATGATGAAAACAAATACTTTATCGATATATTTGAATAACAGTAGTCTAAAACATGCGGAGGTGAAGATGCACTCTCAAATCTAACCAATACGATGGGATGTATGAATCAATCAGACTCTTGCGATAACGCTGAAGAAAACTGACATGATAGTTTATGAAATTCGGATGGATTGAATTCAAAAAGAAATAATTACTAAAATCTTGTTTTTAGACACGGGGAAAAATATGTGGATCAAAACAAAATCAATTTAGTATTCTACATATTATATTATCGGACGAGAACGATGTTGATTTTGAGAAGCGCTCTTCAATCTATATAAATTGTAAATATACTGATAATTAACGAATTATTACATACAACTAAAATGAAAATACATGTGAAATGAGACCTATCGATGCAAAACTATAGACATACGAAAAGTCTTTTGGGAACGTTAGGAAACTGATCGAATACTATTGTAACTGGCAAGGATAGAAGTAAAAAAAAATACAAGAGTTCACAAAACTTCAAGATAAACTTTTTTGTACCGCTTGTTTCACAGAAAATTTAGCATATCGTGGATTGATGGTAAAATCGTTGAGTTTGCAAATCGTTACTTCAATCAACCACACATCACACAAATTTTAAATATTCATCATATATGCAGATATTTTTCTTATTTATTTGATCTTCTTATTTTTCTTTTTCTCTGAGTTTTTCTTCTTTCTATTGTACCTCGTCTTCGATGAGACGATGGTCGCTGTATCATTTTTTTTAAATACTTTTGCTTCGATGACACATTTCTCTTCCTCGCGTCCGCAGGACGTTTATGCTATTATTCTTCGTGTCAATCGATATTTCAATGCAATTGATGAGCGCAACTTTGAATATTGTCTCGACTGTTTCGATGAATATTTTGATGCTGACTACACGAGTATGGTCGGAGGAGAGCCAATGAAAGCGTTATCTCGTGACGTTAACTTGAAAGCATGGAATGGAATGTTGTCGGGATTCAATTCGACACATCATCTCATAGGAAACCATGATGTGACCTTTGTTGATGTTGCTACGTGTCGTGTCAAAGCAAAAGTGACTGCCACACATTGCTTGAAGCGTGAGCAAGGCGAAGAAGAGTTGTGGATCACAGGTGGCACTTATGATTTACAAATGGTACGGTCCCCATCAGACGATCAATGGCGAATAAGCTCGATCAAATTCACCCAAGCTTGGCATCAAGGCTCATCTGATCTTATGCTAGAAGCGTCAAAAGTATGTGCCGAACGTAGTAAAACTATCTGGTAATACTTCTTCTATTATCCGAACTCACTGAATTAATAAACAGAATCTTGTAATTTATCATTAATGCAATTCATTTCGAATTTCACAGCTTCGATTAAGCAACAATTATAAAAACAAAGCGACAATAGAAAAAAGTTTTTTGCTGAAACATATTCACATCTAACTATTGTTTGATTATTTCTGACGCATAATTAAATGTTGCTTGCATTTCTTTTTCAGATTATATGAGAGCACAAACTATGAGTATTCATCTACAGCTACACCCACAAACTATTGTCTCTAACTGATTTTCAAATCAGTGATGCAAAACACGACATACAGGTTTCATCAGGCACACAAAAGTAAAGACTTTCAGATTCATCATAGCCATCAATTATTATCGATGCAGTGGCTTTAGTGACTTTATTTATTTCAATAAAAACAAGTAGCGAATGTTGCTATTTTCAATATAATTAGAAATAAAAGTATGTCTCACTGTGTCCGTTTCACTTACATTTATCTAATATTTACCTCTTCAGTTGTGTCTTCCATATAGATTAAAAACATGTGCTCTCAGAAAATGCCATAGATTTGTCTTATGGATATCGAATTCATCTCTTCGATACTCGGCTTCCAAGACGCATATGAAGACAACGTCGAAGATACACCGATGAGATTCGATGCATTGTTGTGTATTTCAATATTATCAACACAAACAAGCATCGTCTCCATATCGGTGGCCTTCGACATGCTCGATCGACCCGAAGCATCGGTATTAAGCGACGATAGCAGGGTTTCTTTGTGATCGAGACACGCCGGAAGCCGGGTTTCTAACTTAAACATAAAAAGTCCAAGTAAATTCGAAGAATGAACTGTTAATGCATAGGCAAATCTGACGATAACTCTGACACTAACGAGAGCACACGTTTCCAATCCGTCATCGTGTAGGTTTTTTAGGCCGCCGGATGTGTGTTTAATAACACAGAACGCGGTTGATGATCAAAACTGGAAGATGAGAGAAAACATAAAAAGCATGTCTTTATATAGCTGTCGAAGTTATTTCACAAGCGATAGCCAACGTAAAATTTTTCTCAAAGAACAGACCTGAAGAAAAAATGATTGAGTATGGCGTTTTGATGGTGTAAGTAGTGTTTGTTTTTCAATTTTATGCCATGTGTTGCAACGACGGTATTGTCTTAGCTAATGGTAACCTTCTGTCTCAACGTAACAAGAGAATGAAGAAAACCAATAGACTAAAATTAGAAAAGAGTAAACAACTTTCATGTAGTCGAAATTTTAAAAAGCCCGACGGAATCTTTCAGCACTATACAATGGCCGATAGTTGAATATCGACCATTTATATTAGATGCAAGAGTACTAAAACGATATTGGTTTGCTTTTACTCATTGTCTGAAAGCTTTTTTTTAAACAAATCACTTGAAACATGATATTGAAATCGAAATCTTAAAAATACCTCTAGATCATATAGCTGGGTGCGAGTGACAGCGACGCTAAATGTATGTGTCACGCATAATTGAGTTTTAGGCAAAATTAAACCATACTTTTAAAAATTAAAATTTAATTCAGCATCTTATGAAAAATTTATAGTGTCTACAATAAATAACGTTTTTAGCACGAGAAGTGAATTAAAATTTAAAAAAACCAGTTTTAATAGATGAGTGGGCATCGCTAATTTCAATCATATATCTTTGAAGACGATGTACCGTTGGTTACTTTGTAGTATCAAGCTTCTCAAAGTCAGATTGTTCAAAAAAACGATTTTTGTTCTTTTAGGATAATCTTTTATTCCCGATAGTAATGATACAATTTCTCAATTTTTTAAAATGCCATAGAGCATGCATGATTGTTTACAAAAAACGACATAGTAGGTACCGATAGGTTCAATTACTGAAACGATGAAGTGATAATAAATTTATAAACCTGTTCTAGAGCTATATTATCTAATTTTCAAAGAGATTATTGTTGTCCTAACTTTAGTAAATTTAGAACTTATTGCTAGTACAAAGCAAAAAGAGATAATCAGTAAAACTTTTACAGTATACAATATCAGTTTGTAGTCACTATATGTAAAATGTTGAATGCGACAGTGATTATAATGCGAGAACAAGGCTCATCTTATGTACAACTAAAAATAGTATTGAAAAGAAAAGCGTTTTTTTTAAATTTGACTAGATTGTTCCTTTTTCAATTAACGTAAATGTTTTTCAAATTTATGAAATCAAAACATAAATTACTCATATATTGTTTAATGAAATGATCATATCTACTTTTTTTTATCCAGAAGTTTAATATTGTTCAAATAAAATGAACAAAAGCTAAAAACAGATTGACAAAATGTTCTTATATATATATATATATATATGAGTCACAATTCCAAGACCCGCATCTGAAGTCGGAACCAGCCCACACTTGTACTCATATATATATCCATTCGGCTTACTAAAATAATTCTAAATAGTTCATCTGAAAAATCTACCCTGATTTCCAAAACCTATAATTCTGTCATTGCCTATTTGCTTATGTCTGTAATCGAGTATTAATTGTTAGCTCGTATATTCAACAATGACAGATACTAGTTTCTATGGTCTGTAATGGTACCCTAGGCTGGCTACTACGGCCTATAATGGACAAACATTGCTTTTTTCGTGTAGCCTGTAATTAAACGCTGTTAGCGCAATCCCTGTGAGATTAAAATGTGAAACATGATGAAACTTCTTTTCTGGAATTCGTCTATCACGGTCACTGATGGTCTATGGAGCTTCTGTGCTACGGTCTGTATTATGATATATGGAGTCTCTAGAAACCATCGCATACTGTTACATTTAATAACTAATTAATTTCTCTGTAACGATCTGTGGGGGGGGGGGGGGGGGGTACAAATTTAGGCACAACA